GCGAAGAGGCAGCCCCGCTCAAGCCTTTGCTCAAAGTCCGAGCCGTCGCGGTTGCCGTCCAAAGATGTTCACAATAGCGACTGCACCAACCAGGAACCGCTCAAACCCAGCCGTAGTTGATGGGGCCAGGTCTTTTTGTTCTGTTCGTTTGCTGTCAGCACGCACGTGCAATCCAAGGAGCAAAAAAGGGCGAGACTGGTACAAGTAGAATCTTATGTTTCATCCTTTACACTCCGCCCTGCTGCTGGGCTAAATACAGGAGCGACACGAGGCGAGGCCCTCCTGAGCACAAACAGTTACAAGTGCAATTTGGTTCCGGCGCCCGCAAACAGGAACTGGCATCCAAGTTTCAGGTCATTTTTGTGAGTGTAAGTGCGAATGTTCCATTGCAGCACCATTTTTTGTTGTGGGCTTCCCCATTGAGAGGCGATTTCTCGCAGTCAGCAAGGCCAGTTTCAAGAAAAGTCTGTGAAGAATAAGTATTCGGAATGTGCTGAGGCACCATCCCGAACAAAGTGCATCGAACGTTTCGGAAAATCCGAAAGGAAGCGTATGCCACGTTCCAGCTACAGTGTGTGCACTTATCCGTGCTTGCTTACGCCCAGCTTTACTTGCCAAGGTTCATGACGCAGGTTTCAGAGTTCCTTCCGGCAGCTTGGAGTCAAGAGAACTTGAGACGCGAAAAAGCCTTGCATTCGACAAAATTCGAACGCTACCAGGTACGAGAGTTCGCCCCGCTCCGGGCTGCAGTGCCAGAGGCTGCAAAGACGAAGGCGGGTTCCAGGGGATGCGTGTTTGCATCTGTTTGCACCTGTTTTGCCCATGTTTCTTATGACCTCGCAGGCCTTCCGTTACTTGTTGGTTACGGGAAGGCCCGGGCTGACTCCTTCCTTGGGCATTTTGCGAAGCTACTCGTGTGAACGTGCTGGCGTCGTACCATGCATGTACGTAACCTCTCGTACGCCGTGCGAGGCTCCAAGAAGCAAGGAGCTCCCCTGGACATGAGTATCACTTGCAGCGGCAGAGCGCCGAGCGATGGGCTTTCTGGGCTGGGAGGTCGCGAAACGTCCGGTACAACGCCCTGGGCTACCCATACCGCTACGAAGTCACGGGATCCGTCTGGGATGGATGGCCCGAGTGGTGCTTCTCCTGGTGTCCGTCCTGCCGGCCGGATTGGGCTCCTCGGCCGGCATGATCGCACAGCACAACGTTTCACTTATGTCGCATGTGCTATTGTAAGTGTGATGTAAACTGAGGTGACATCACCTCCCCGTGGCAAGCCATTTCGCCCCGATGAGTTTAAACCATCAAAGCCTCGACATCCTGCCTGAGAAGACCAGCAGCTGGAGATGCCGCTTCGTTCTCTGACATTGTCCCCTACTTTGGTGAGGAATGAAGCGAGAAGTGAAGTCTGACACGTGGTCATAGCGCAGGCGCTAAAGGTGACGATGGACCAGGAGGAGTTGCGCCGGCATCTCAAGGCCCCAGAGCTGGCAATGCGACATGATGCGACCTGTTGCTCTTGTCAAGAAAAACAACCGAGTATTTCAAGCATCGTGGGGTGCCACTTGCCAATGCCATGTCGACATACCTTCGAACCTTGGAGCTTGAAATCGGCGGAGATGTCTCCAGAGATGGTGCCCAACAAGGCTAAATTTGTTCATCTAAGCGGTGAGTTTTGTCAACTTTTTCTTTGTCTTCCTCTTCTCTGACTCGCTCACCTCATGCCTAACATGCTACATTGCCCCCCCCCCCTTCCACGATCAGAACCTTTCACAGGCTTGACAAGTGTTGTAGACTGTTGCCGCCAGGTTCCATGTGTTTTGACAGCCTTTATAAGTCGCTCCCATTTTGCACCGCTGGATGTGTTAACGTCTGTCTGTGTGTCGGCGTGGGTGTGTCTGTGCCCCGTTTGTCCGAGTATGTCTGGTGCCTGCAGAACCATGGACACATGTACACGTGAAGCATGGCAAGGCTCCCCGCAGTCTTGCGGCTTTACGTGGATGTGCCAGAAAGCAGTCGGCATGTACAAGCCAGAGTTCAGAGTAATAGAGCTGATTGGGACCTTATTTAGGTTAGCAGGATGCATCTACTAGCATTCCTCCAGCTCCGATTATCCCTTGCGGGAAGCTTGCGTTCTGCCGTCATGGATGTCGACGACTTCAACGAACGTTTGCATGGAGGCGCTTTGTTCCTGCGATTCAAAGGATCTGGAGATGATCTGGATGTTCAACTTGTTGCGAGGCCCTCAAGCTGAACTCTTCCTTGGGCCTGCGCCGGCACCTTTGTACCTCCGTCAAGACTCTGTCATGAGTGTGTGTCTCGTTGTCATTGTTCCCCAAGCAGCTTAGCTGAGGCGTTCTTTCTTTGCTGAAAGAAGGGATTCTCTGACGTTCATTTGGGTATCTCAAGGCACTACATTTGTCTCCCGCGCCCTGGATGCTCTGACGCCCGTCTGGGACTGTTGTTCTTCAAATTTTTTCATTTGTCTCCCACTGGTCTCCCACACCCTGGATGCTTTGATGCCCGTCTGGGACTGTTGTCCTTTAAATTGTATTCAATTGTTTCCCACTTGTCTCCTAGCTGGGCAACGATTGCAAGCTGTCGCTGAGCTGTGCTTACGTGCTGGTACAGCTTGTGCGATGTAGTGGTGGTAGCCTGTTGAGGTGATGCGCCAAGTGAGAGAGGTCTGATGAAGAGCACTTGGGCTCCCGGCCGCTGAAGACAGCTGCATCATGTTGCTTTTCCTGGATCCTGACGCTAAATGACAGTGCAGTTGCCTTGTAGATGTCCTGCTGTGCGGCAAACTCTTACTTCTCCAACAGCTGAACTTTAAACTTTTTGGGTTTCCTTATTTAGCAGGAGTAATAAAGTTTAACCTTTTTTTCCTTGGTTATTGGAGAAGTAAGAACTAGATTCCGGTGCTCTTCCAGCCCATTTTGGTATTGCACCAAGGCATCTGATGTGCAGCGTCTGCAAGCTTTCGTTAGACCATTGGAGTTGAATGGGTTTGACACATGAGCCTTTGTTGTTTTTTTACGGAGGACGATACTTGGGACCCCCGCTTCTTGATGGCAGGTGCATGTCATGGAAAGCTTGAACTGCATGCTTGGAGTTTGATGCTCAGCGCGATCGATGCCCTCCCTTTGAGAACGCCTCTGACTGTGCACACAGAACGTGACAGAAGCCCTTATAGCTCGAATTTGCGCTGTCGTGCGTTGGTGGAGGCGTTGGAAAAAACTCATCATCAAATATGTCGTGGCGGCATCACTGATGATGTCTATGGGCTCCCAATGGGGCACGTCTAGTCTGTGGGCAGCTCGTGAGACGGGCGCGTGTTTGCCTGAGAAAAGATCCAGCACTCTGCGTTGCTTAGGCGGGGGCGCAAGTCGTTGGTCTGGGCCCGAGTTGGTGTTGTGCAGTCCGGGAACGTCCCAGACCAGATTTCGAAAGGTGCCTGCGGCATCCCGCGGCTCGTCGGGCGAGGGGCTGGCGAACTCGACGGGTCGCCATCAGGTGGCAAGCGGTCTAGCAGGCCATCCGGACTGATTGGGGGCGGGCCCGTTGCGGGCGGAAGGCTTGTCCCCGAAGGCGAGTTTTTTGATCGTGTGGGTTGTGGGAAAACGGTGATGGGCTCACCTTGGGCGTTGCCGGTGCAATCGCTGGGCCCCAGCCGTGTTGCGCCGTCCGGTCCTGCTGGACTCACAGCTATCGGACTGTTTCAAAAGCGTAGCTTGCCATGTTCGCAGGCAGGGTTGATTTGGGCGCAACCACGGACGGCGCATACGTGGGCGAACTTGCAGTCCTTGAGCTGGCATTGTCCCGTTTGGTAGCGTGTGCATATAGGCTGGGACTTGTAGGAGCCAATCCAGTTGGCCGGCAAGTTGGTGATTCTACTCTTCCCTTTGCCCATGTGGGGTCTATATCGGATTTTGCCGACTCCGTGGCTGGTTCTTCGTTTCGTATCGGTATTGACATGTATTGACAGTGTTTTCGTCCTTTGTTAACGTGTTTTCATGTCACGCTTCTGTCTTGTATCTTGGTGTCTGAGTGTTTCTTTTGTGGTTTTTCGTTTCATGTATCCAGTTCCTATGAAGGTTTGGATTTCCTGTGTGGGCCTTGGATCTCCTACGAGGGCCTGGGATTTCCTATGAGGGCCTTGGATTTCGTATGAGGGGTTTGGAATTTTCCCGTGAGGGCCTTGGATTTCGTATGAGGGCCTTGCGTTGTATTTTCATCATGTAAATTGGCCTGGGTGGGGACTTTTCGGGTTTAGGCCCCGGGTTCAGGGTCTAAGCTCAAGGGTTAGAGTTTTGGATTTCGCATAAGGCCTTGGAGGGGAGGGGTTGTTGGGGGAGGGGGAATTTAGGGTTTAGGCTTCGGGTTTAGGGTTAAGAGTGTTGGGTTTAGGGTGTAAGGGGTTGAGGCGTCGGGTTTCGGGTTTAGCGAAAGCACCCAAAACAAAGGAAACCCACACGGACACCAAGATACAAGACAGAAGCGTGACGCGATCAACACAAAAGACGAAAACACTGCAAATACCGATGCGAAACGAAGATACAGCCACGGAGTAGGCAACATCCGACATAGACCCCACGAGGAAAACAAAAACGTCTGAACAATTTAGATACGTTTTTGATTTTGGGTATGATTCGAGGGCTTCCCGGGTAACGCGGCGTTTGTTGCTATATTTCGATAATGCAGTTTTCATAGGTGGAAAAGTTGTGTGGAATGAATGTCTGCGAAGGCTTTGAAGTTTTTGAACAGTTTGAACTGGGAGGCACTGTTTTCGTACCTTCCAAACCCCTCATATCCTGAGCCTGGTGAACAGGAGTTTGCCGTGCAGCAGCCTTTTGGTACGGATCGTCGGTGGTTCATGTGCATTCGCGTGAACAGGGACAACAGCGTGCATATATCCATCAGTCAATGCAGTGAGCTGCTTGGGAAGCATGGCTTCGTCTAGTTTGCCATGGCCGTGGCTGCAGCGTGCAAAGCAAGCAATGAGGCAATCGAGACGAAATATCAAGATTCATTTACAGCAGTTGCACAATTTCTGCAGCCTGCGGTTTTGCGCAGCCAAGGTGAAACTGAAACACCGTGCGTTGACGCTTCCAAGCTTGAGAGGTGGCTTGCTGATTCATGCACTGAAGAAGATTAAAGACCAAACAGGACGCAGTTGGGTGGCTGCTGCTGTGAAGTTGTAGCACGTCGCTTTTTCTTTTGTGTGCCAGCCGGTTGAGAATGTCGGTGAGTGAAGGAGTCCTCTCTTGTGAGTTGCAGATCCTCAGTTGCAGTCTTGCCACCAGTTGCAATTTTCTGTTGAATAGCCAGGTTCCTTGATTTCAGAGCCTGATGAATGAATCAATGAATGCTTCGTATTTTGACCAGTTTATTCGTTTCCCCCTTAGAGTTAAAGTTGAACCGTTTCCCGCTTGCTGAGGTACCTCGATTATGGAGCCGAGGAGCGGGGTTTTCATACATGGTCAGCACAACGAAATGTGTAAGACTCCAAGATGCGCTGTGCGTGAGGTGGTAATCGATGGACAGCCTGGCAATGTCCTGAATTGTGAAGAAGCGGTGCTGCGAGTCGCTGAAGGCAACGTCGACGGATTGGATTTCGTGGAAATTCGCCATGAGGCAGGGTGTTCCTGAAAGTCAGCATGTTAGGTTGGTTTCAAGTCGGACGTACAGCTTCCGAATTTGTTTGCAGCCACATCACAGGCACCGCCAGCGCCTACGAAAGTGAGTTGTGAAGTTTGTTCATTTGTTTGGCAAGTTTTCGTGTGTCACACCCGTCGAAAGATCGGAGTCTTCAGGTCTCCATGCCAGCAGGGAGGAAGCTTCAGACAGGAAAAGCGAAGAAACAACAAACGCCGGCGCAAGCCATCGGGTGTATGACAGGCGCGGTCATGTCGGTGATTGATTGCATTATGAAGCAACCATACTTACCATAGTTTCGCACGCTTCACATTAGCTTGCAGGTTGCGACCTTGTCCTGGATGAAGCGCAGTCGCAACTGCGTGTGGTGGGACCTTCAGAAGCTGTTGCTCGCGGTGCTGCCAAGCTTGCAGCAGCTTGGTGGGGACACGTCAGGCTTTTGTGCACGTATGTTGCGCACCAAGGTTTCTCATCCACACATAATCAAGTCGGCCATTTCTCTAGTTGTTTCGAGTTTTTTCTTTCTCACTTCCAGAGGACAAGTTCTTGGCAGCGCGCAGTCACGACCTCTCCGCTGTTGTCAAGGCTGCAGCTGCCACGTGTGCTAGCATGATCTAACATATGTTCGTCTTTCTTGCCCTCGTTGAGAACAAAAGTTGTTTGTTGCTCTCTTGCCAGGGTGAGGCTCCGCGCCTCCTGGCAGCGTGTAGTGGTATTTGGATCGCAAAGGTGTGGCGCCGGCTTGTGAGTTAGACGTGATACCGCAGTGACTGTTGTGTTGCCGATGTTTTGGTGACTTCCGCCTGATTTGATTCGCTGCAACAACCGGCGGGGTTCCCAATTTTGCGTCTGGTGTACATGGGAGCAAAGGTTTGAACGGCACGTAGCAGCACTGTACCAAGCAAGCCAAGACGGGGCCTTTGTACCGGTAGGCGACGCCGATGCCAATCTATCAGCTTGTTTTGTTCCTGCTCCATGTTGTCGCGGTCGTGTTGTTGCTGCTCCGGTTTGCATTTTGCCTTGCTTATCCGATGAGTTGATGCTGTATTTCGCCGCTCAATGTTGCTTTTGTCGAAAGCAATGAGGAACGACCGACTCGGTTTCGGTGACTCGTCTGCAATGGATGCAGCCAGCAATGCAGCTGCTGATTGTTGCGATGTCTGCAGCTAAGACACCAAAAACATAGGATTACTGGCCGCAGCTGCGAAGAGAATTTGCCCTGCCCAGTTTAACATGAGCTACAGAGCTACATTGGACTTGGATGAACTAGTTTCAGGCACAGTGATGAGACTGAGAGGTTTCCTTGGGTCTGAGGAACAACTGATGGATCAATGCTGAGGTGCCGACTGGTGCTGGTTCTGAAAGCCGCGCGTCTCCGATCTCAAATGTCAAGCCGAAACAGAAGGTTCGGGAGCGCAGGCACGGCGACAAGGCTCAGAAGCCACAGGTCGCTTTCACGCACGAAGCGAGAGTCCAGTTCTTGCAGACTTGCAGACAGCTCTGGAGACAGAATGAGACGCAGCGAATGTCTGTGTATATATGTGAAAGTGTGTATGTGTATGTGTGTGTGCACGTTTCTACGACCTGAGGACTCGCGAGCAGCGAAAGACATGCCTGTGTCTTGGTCCTTGGCCATGAACAGCTCTGTGATGTGCTGACTTGGTGTTGATGTTTGCTGGTGTGCTGTGGGCTCCCTCTGTGGTCAGGTCGACAGCTCCAAGCTCAGCTTCTAGGCTTTGCATTCTGCCACTGTTCGTCCTTGCTCGTCCTTGCTCGTCCTTGCTCATGCGTTTTTGGGGCGGTTGAGCTGTTGAGCCTCTTCTACCCCCAGCACCATAAGGATCGCCATGCGTGCCCTCCAGTCATCCAAGCTGTGACAGATGAGTTTGGTCGGCGCTATTACTGGAACCACACGGAAGCGATGGCGACCTGGCATCCGCCTCCACCGCATATTGGCTTCTGGGAACGTCTGGTTGATTGCAGGATTGCTTCTTTTTTGTAGAATGTAGAACTCAAGAAGAGCATCGTCCAGACCAGTTGCAGGACAGGAAGTCCTTATTTCCAAAACCGTGGTACTGGACAAACTGCCTGGGACTTGCCTGGCCGGATGCACCAGCGCCTGCAGCAACCTCATCCAGCCCAAGCCTAAGAGGATGGGCTGTGAAGGGTTTTGGGCTCGACTTGAAGTTGTTTTGCTGAAAGTTTCCTTCAATGCAGGCCAGGGGCATGCCGGGATTCAATGGCTCAGCACACGACTCTGTGTGCCGGTTGCTAGCTTCGGGTAGGCGTGTTTCACTGTTGCAAGCAAACGGTTTCTTTGTCGCAAATCCGTCTTGAAGGACTTGGGGCAGGATTCGGCGGCAATTGGGTTTCGGATGAGGTTTGAGATATTTCAGAAGATCCGCATGTGGGCTTGGGGGCCGAGGTCCCTGGATACGGCTTCACGTTGGCGCCAGCCTGGATCCCCCCCGCGACTCCTCCGGTGGGAGCGGTGCCAGCGCCATCGCCAGCGCCCTCACCAGCACCATCATCCTCACCAGCGTCTTCACCAGTGCCAGCGTCCTCAACAATGCCCTCGACAGCAGTGCCCGACAGCTTCTCCAACGCTGAAAGCTTTTCGAGCCGTCCTCTTGATGGGGAACACAACTCGAGGCTTGCGGTGGGCAAAGTGGAGATGACGGCCGAAGGCCCGACACCGAACAGTTGCCTTTCCTCGCTTGGCGTGGTCACTATGTGCATTATGTACACTGTCATTGTGATGTCCTGAATATTGGGTCCGTTTAGATGGTAGATGGGTGCATTCTTTAGGGAGAGAGGGCAGCACCGCTAATCAGAGCATTCGTGCCCGAACCATGATGAAGTCCATGTTGTCTCTGCGTCAGTTTGACGATGCTTGAGCTTTTGCGTACTTGTAACGCGATCTGTCCTCAAGCCTGCTGGGGCAAAAAGGGCAATGGTGAGAGTTGCACCAGTGGCCGGGCATCGATCGCCCTCTTGAGCGCCGTCCATTTTCGGGGCTAGTCCATTCGGCAAGTGAATGTTACACGCTCCTTACCAGTAGCAGGTTTCGACTTCCATGAGCGCCGTCTTGCTGTCAAAGACCAACACTCGTTGTGGTATCTGATGAGCATGCAGGTAAGCACTTGAGCCCGACCTTGGGTTCAGGCCTCATCGCCAGATCTGCTCACCAAAGAACGGCCCAGTGCAAGTTTTCATTTATCCAAAAATTTCAGCTCCTTCCTCAAGCTACGGGTGTCGCTCGTTGCTCGGTGTGCACGTGATTTTCCAGAATTATGCCAAAGGTGGAATGTTCGTGTTCAGCGATTTTTGCCAAGGCTAATCGATTGTGTTGTGACTGGGATGACAATTCCTACAATCGGCGTTCGTTCTGGGCACTTTTTTTGAATGGCCTGTTCTTCGTGACCTCTTGGAGAGATCCACGTTGCTGCGTAGGGGTGTTGAGGTGAAGGTCAAAGGTACTACAGCTTGTAGGGTGTTGGGGACATGGGACCTGAGACTTACAAGGTGTTGCTTCTAAAGGTGTTATGGGCACCGAAACCTCTTTTGTTGAACGCAGTGGGGCTTGCGTGCAATGCGGAGATCCAAGAGATGAACCGCAGTCACATGGGTCCCATTGACTTTCTTGCTTCAGGCCGGCAAGCAGCGCGCCTTCGGACAAAGCAGGCGTTGGACAACATCAAAGCTCGCAGGCGGAACCTTGGGCTGGAAGCTTCGCTACGTTCCTTGGCAGTATTGGAGGCAAACTTCACGTGAAGTGGAACTCGGCACTAGCCCGAATTTTCTTTCACACGCATGGGTGAAACGATTCGCAATGCGCTTCGGATTTGACCAGCGCAGTGACGCAAGGGCTTCAGGGCATCTTTGAAGCTTTTCATCAGGCGTGTGCCCAGCCCCACTTGTGCCTGCATGAGCACGGAATCGAGCGTGAGCGAGAACGAGTGAAGGTGAGGGAACACAGGTCGGCACTCGAACGCAATGCAAACCACACTAGCCTCTGCGCAGATGTTTATATATAGACACACATAGGTATGTCAACACGTCTGGAGTTCTGCCGCTTTCGTCGCAGATATCAAAAGGAGCACAGTCAAGCAGCACAATGTCACTACAAAAAGCAGCGTAGCAAACAGCTGGTAGTTAAAACCAACAGACACAAAAGCATTGAGACAGCCACTCGATGGAGTTCTACGGCTAATGTCGTTTTACTCACCTCAACGTAGCACGAAGCCATAAGAAAACACATAGTAACACAGTCAGAAGCCAAGGATCGTGTCATTAGAAGAAACAGCTTAGAATCAGCTGGTCGCCAAAAACCAACAGTGACTTAACACACACATAAACAAATTTTTGAGATATCCTCATAGTCACCTTAACGTAGCACGAAGCCATGAGAAGAAACATAGTAACACTGTCAGAACCCAAGAAAATCTGAACGACGATTTGAATCACCAGCTCGATGGAATTCTGAGGCTTTCATCGCAGTAATAGAAGAAGAAGAAGCGCAACAAAGCAACACCATGTCGTTTTAAAAGCAGCATAGCAAACAGCTGGTAGTTACAACCAACAACCAACAGTGACTAAAAAACACACTCACACACATACTATGGCCAATATCCTTTGAACCTTGTATTCACCTTAATGTAGCACGAAGCCATGAGAGAAAAGTCATTGTAACACAGTCAGAAGCAAAAATAGTGTAAACGAAGTTTTGAACAACCAACTCGATGGAGTTTTGCGGCTGTCATGCAGCCAAAAAAATGCATTGTAAAGTAGCATCAGAAACACAAAACAGTATGGGCATAAAAGATATATCACATAAACAAACGTTTTGCTTGCAGATCTATGGAGCTGTGCGATTCATATTCTATTACAAAGGCTGAGAAAATGCTGTGATATTGTCTTTGCAAGCGAATTACACAGCATATTCGTAAATGTCCCAGTGTTCATCTGACATGCTTTGCAGCACGGATAATGCAAAATGTGAGCTGAGTAAGCTAAACTTCTTGTACGTGGGCAGAATGATTAAAACAATGTATTCAGTTTTTGAATTGTCATGCTTGGGCTTTGGACATGTTGCTTTTGAAACTACAGGTTGATGTGAGATGGGCGTGCATGGTCTGTTGAAGAGTATATGTCAGACATTGGACACTAAGCCAGTTTCGGCCACGTACATACCACTATATATACACAGACAGTGCACTGGGTGGCCGGGAGGTGCCTAGAATGTGTTTCTGCGGAATGCATTTGCCTTGATCCGGCGCTTTGCGCCTTTTCAATTTTTTGAGGGTCCGAGTGCATCCGAGTGCGCCTTGCTTGGTGATGGAATGTTTTTTTCGCTTCGAGGTACTTGTAGGGAGAAAGTCGCGCCGCCCAAACGATCAGGTGCAACTGTGAGGTCTAGAAGTTGAGGAGCGTGCCTGGGAACGAAAGAACAGTCGACATTTGTGACGTGTCGACATCGCGGGACTAACAGTCACAGAGCACGAGCAAAGACACGAGAAAGGGCACCGAAGCAAGGTTTTCGGTTCTTCTGATGGGACCAATGTCCATGTCTCCCTTGACCCGCGTTGCCAACAAGAACGAATGCAAGTTGATGCAAGCAGCGTTGAACCGAAACACGTCGAGTGACCAATCGACTAGCAATTGCTGCCTGCTATCCGTGTCGACTTTCCGTAGAGTGTCGTGTGGATATATTCCGCCGCTTTCAGCAGCCCTGCGTACCTAGCAGCAGTCGTTTCAGCTTCGACATTGACATTTTGGGAGATGTTGAGAGGTCTCCGGATAGGAGGGTGCGCTCCGCTCATGCCGAGTCCCAATGGATGAGTGTCCTGAGATGCATGTGGGCGACATGGGCGAGAGACAGCCAGCTGACTTTGACATTGCAGAAGGGGATCTCTGGCAAGATGGCTCCCTCAGTCAGGCTGCATGCGAAGACGATGACACGTTTCTTGCTGGTCAAATACTCTTACTAGGGTTTAGGGTGTCTGAAGACTCATCGGGCGAGTTCTAACTGCTTTTCAGTGTTGTGCCATTTTGTGCTGGGCTTCGGACAAGGTCACTTATGGTTTCGCTGCAGTTTGTTTTTGCCTGACAGGTTTGATTTGGAGGAACATTCTGAAGATTCTTTCAGACATGAAGAAACGCTGGTTGCAGATGATCCATTTCATGAAGGATCCGCTGGGGCACTTGCTAAAGTTTTCACTCTCACTTCACGCAAAGCATGCGCAGGACAGGTGTTCTGGAGAGTTCCAGAAGGAGACCCGGACGCGGTGCCTTGCCTGGGGTTGGCGGTCTTCCAAGCATGGTTGCCCAACGAAGAACCGGAGTAAATCGGAGGTGCTCGTCGAAGCTGACGATCCAAGTCTTGCTGAGGTGCCCGAGTGCCCTGGTTGAATCGAAGTGGTCAGATGAATCCGATCCAACTTTCAATGAGCGCGGTTTGCTGTGATTTGAATCAGCAAAAGTTACTGTGTATCCTCCACGTAAAGTTCGAGCTTTTAATCTTGAACTGTGTTCGCTGGGAGAGATACCCTGAAGAACCTTTATGAGGCAGAGTTCATTGATGAAATAGACGTAGGACTTTCGTCCGGATATTCGCGATCGACGAGTGAAGGAGGTTTCTCGAATCCAACGCCTAACCGAACAACGTCCATGTTGGATAGCTGGCTACAGTTCTTCCCTTCATTACTTCCAGAGAGTTTCTTAGACCCATCCGCGTGTGGTAGAAAGCAAATGCCGAAAGTGAAGGGCTTCGAGTACACGCTCAGGTCCAGGGATGCCGAAAGTACGGCCCTTGAGTTTCCTCCGGAAGCTGCAGCTACTTGTCTTGAAAGTTTGAAAGCCTCTGACGACAGCATTGATGAGGGACTTGCCGGGAACCGGGGGTCTGCAAGGATGATGCATGGGATGTCTTGGAGGAAGACCTGGGTGATTTCGTGGACGAAGAAGCCATTAAGTAGCTTTTCCCAGCAATAGAAACACCATGAAGCATCATCTTGGCAACTGTGACAGTCGACTTTCAATACCTTCAAGCAATGAAGGGATTGTTCGTTGAGGCAAGACTTGCTAGCCGAGATTCAGACGATGCGCGACAGCCTGGAGCTCAACTTTGCTCATGCTCCATATGCGTCCGCGTTGAGTGCAGTGCGATGTACTCTCCCGACAAATCGAGACAGGGGTGGCATGCGTGATTTGCTGGATGTACAGAGCGCAATGTTTTGAGAACGAAGGTCAAGACAAAGAGCTTCTTGAAGAGGAGGAGGAGGAGGATGCCACAGAGTGGGAAATGTGGCAAGTCGACGAGGAGGAGTTCGGTGCCGTGGAAGAAACAGCAGCAGAAGCAGAGGAGATTCGCGCTTCTGACTTGCGCCAGACGTGCTTGCGGGGGTGGGGGGGGGGGGGGGGGGGCGACGCAGGTGACACCTCCTTACCCGTCATACTGAAGAAGAAAGGAATCAACGCAAAAATGACGGACGCAAAAAGGTTCATAAAGAAAGTGAATTAGCACAAATGTCGAAAGAAAGAAAGCAATACCGAAAGAAGTAAAGGAAGAACGAAACAGATACATGCATGAAGAAACGAAGAAGGATACATATATGCGCGAAGAGTTATTGAAAGAGCGAATAGAGAAGTACACAACAAATCCTACTATCAGAATTACATACACAAAGAAAGCCGCAACAAACACAGAAGTAAAAAGAAGGAAATAAGCAAAGGAATGACGAAAAAATGAAAGAACAACATAACTAAAACCAATTACCCAAAGGTTCGGGAAGGGTGTCGCTGAGTCGCTTGGCAACGCAAGAACAAATTCAGATGCGTCCCGTTGAGGGTCGCCAACTGTGGGTCCAAGCTCCTCGTCGCTTTGGTAGACAGTATCTGCTCAGTATCTATCGTTAGTTTCACCCCGACATCCGTTCATTATCCTGTCAGTGTGGGGTGCTAACAGACATGAACAGAGAGACAACTCAAGCCTTCACGATTGTTCATGTAGTGTGTGTTTGTGTATCGCCACGTCATTATCAACGCAGTTCTGCCTTGGCTGCAACTTTTCTTAGCCATGTGTTTCTGTTATGTTTCTTTCTCGTTCCGCTCCAACCCGCACAGCCACGCAGGTCACTTGCATTGCGCCTGTAGACTGGCAGGACCAGCGTGCCCAGACGGCAGCTGCTTCTCGCCCAGCCCAGTCGCAAAACGCGGCGGGAGCGGCTCAGCTGATTGCTCGAGACATCTCGACACATGTTCCATGTGCCCTCTGCGCTGTGAGCTAGGTCCGGATGATGCTCCCATCCAGCAAGAAGAAGCCTATGCCACCATCAGAACCACCAAGTTGGTACCGTGCAGATGCTGGCAAGGTGGAGGGCGAAATTATCAGGAAGGAAACCAAACGTTTTACTCCATTTTCGTATTTGTGTGGGATTGCAGCGCTTTCCTGACAGTTTTCACTTCCAATCTCAGGCAGACCGTCGTGATGGCAAAGAGCTGAAGGGCACTTGGACTTCGCCCCCACAGACACGGGTCAAAGGTGGCAAAGGAAAGCAAGCCAAAGGCAAAGCGAATGAGCGCAAGAGAAGGGTGGAGTATGATGGCGGGCATGCCCCGCCCTTGAGGAGAAAGAGCTGGCCGGACAAAAGTCGGGTTGTGTTTCAGGCAGGTGAAAACTGGAATGGTCATGACAGATCTGATTCTGACTGGCACGGTTCAAGCCGGGGAGGGAGGAGCCGCGAAGGCACCAGACACGGAAAGTCAAAGTGCGAAGCTTGGTTGGCATGTTTCAGGTGATTTTACTAATGATCACTATCATCTCTCGGCTTTAATTGCCACCAGCTGCTGGTGCCTGTTCCTCGAGCGCCGTGATAGCAGTGACAGCCGCAAAATGTCGCAAAGGACTGGTCGCAGGATTGGACGGATTGGAAGGCTTGGAGAGATGATGGCGACGGCGAAGGCACCGCCTTGGAGCAAAAGAAGCAGGAGCAGCAAAAGAGCGGCCGCGGCAGCCCTTCCAGCTCCACGAGAGTCACGAGAGGCCCGTTGGCGTTTTTCTTTTCGACGGTTGTTACAGGCTAATGATGCTCTACCTTGGTACGCTTTGTTCTAGTATTGTTCCGCTATCTACGGCCCAGGTTGGAGCTGGAAGCGCCGCTGATGCGGTACTTTGTGGAAAAACGCCTCTTAGTTCTCGTAGCTCTCTCTCTACTTAGCTCCGCCGCAGTGCCAAACGGTGGAACTGAAAGGCAGTGGCAGACCTTGTGCATTGTCTCAGCCGCCACTTATGCGGCCTTTGCAAACCCTACTAGGGATATTGCTGCTTTTGGCAAGCGTTAAAGTGTAATCTGCGCGGCATGAGCGCGCGTTGGGGTTGTGGGAAGCCAAGCCAAATAAACATGAAGGGAGATGCTGCTACATGGTTAGTTCTCTAAACTTTGGGTCCCTTTTTAGGCCCCTCCATAGTACGACACCCTCGAATAAGGACCCCTGACACTAATTTACAGAACTACCCACATGTCTGCTCCAACACCCTTGTGCAGCTCTGCATCCGCAGCTGCTGATACATCGAGCTCTGTAGAATCGTAGAAACGTGGGGCGAGGGGCCATCTTGTATCCTTCACTTCCGTATCGAAGTTTTGTTTCAAATGAAGTGCAGGATTGACACAAATGCCCTGCTATCCCCAACCGATAAGTTTGGGCCATCTGGCATGACCCTGCCTGTGCCATGGAGGGCAAGGCAGCAAAATGTTTGGCGGCTTGTCCTGAGCCTGCGCCTCAGTGATCGCAGCAGACCATGTTGAAGCATTTCACTTCGCGTTGCTTCGCTTAGGCTTCGTAGCTTTCAAAGTCTTAGCATCATCTCGCATCTAGAGGTTGCAGCTTTCTGCTGGCTCTGTCGCGTACCTTGATTCTGTGCTGTCAGAGCTCACCCCCGAAGAGATGCAGGAGCCTTGTCAAATTTGCCTATGTTGTCACCTTAAGTGCAGGTGAGCCAGAGACCAGTGGGAATGTTCAGTGCAAAGCGGGGGCTTAAGGACTACACGACTGTGCGAGTACTGTTGCAGCCCTTTCTGCTTGATGCTTTGATTCTCGGCAGAAGCTATGCCGGCCGCATTCGACCCCGCGCATCTGTGAACTTATTGTTCCTTCGAGCCACCGTAGCACTCCGAGAGCCTGATCCACTTCAGGAAGCTGAGTGGCCGTGAAACACCGCACAACAGCACGAGTGATGCAAAAGCGGAGATGGCCTGCATCTTCGATGCGTTCAGACTGTCGTTTGTTTTTCTTTCTCATGCAGGGCCGAGGCTGTCAATTTTTGTCGTGAGGTTTAGCAAGTTTAGTTGAAGCTGCAAGAGGCCAAACGATCTTTGCCCAGCTGCAAGAGACCGACGGTTTGCAACGAGACTCATTTTGAGATGGAGCATGCTGCAATGCGACATGGAGAGCACGCAACATATTGTGCAAAGCATATGCAACACGGTGAAGAGGCAAGCGTAGAGCCGAAGATGCTGCTGTGTAACAGAAGTTTCACGGAGGCTTGTTTCAGGAACTAGGGGCGAAGGGCTGCTGTGACTGAGGCATGAGCAGAGCAATGTTGCAGGATTTTGCCTGCCTATCGGAGTAAGGACGCCTGGGCGATCCAGTGCAAATATCTGATGCCTTGCACAAGGCTGCTGGGTTGGCTACCTGGAGGCATCTAACATTGCAGAGCTTGTGGTGAGGCTTCCTGACACATGCTGATCAGGTCTCGGACAGGTTGGACCTTTCTGAGGATCTGGCATCTTGACTTCAATGACGCGAGTTCAATGGCACCGCAAAAGCGGTCAACAGAAGGTTTCACTGGCAGGGCGAGGTTGTTGATGTTGGCTCAAGGTGCCGATGGTGCCAGCTCAGCAGCCCCAGAGTAGTCTGATTACCAACTCAAGATAGAAGTGCGATGAAAATATCCTGTATCATGCCTTTCCGGAGCATTGTGGTCGGAGAGCTTGGACACTTCAGCACGTTGTTGGCTCAACAAGTTGATCCCAGCGGTCACATCAATGGAACAGGAACAATGTCCCGCCGAGCATAATGGAGCCTACCGCTGGCTTGCTTCATTCTGCAGAAGTCAGTGATCTCACCATCCGCGCTGTTGCTGCAAACAAGCGATACACGGCAATCAATTATGCCCTTGCCTTTGCGACGACTGAAGATGCTGAACGTGTAGTGTGTGCAGTTTCCAGCCTGTTGCATCCTTGTTCCGAGGATTCGTCGCAACTTGCGCAGAAGAGAACTCAGTACGCCTGTATGATTGGACTCTTGTAGGCAAAGTGCACGCTCCCAGTCCTGGACTTGTGTCAAGTGCCGCGGAGCCTGATATGTTGAGGAAGGGGACACTTTTGCACACCTTTCAGACAGCTCAGAAGACTCGCAACGTGGCCCTATCAGCGACATGCCGCAAATCAGCACTTTTGACTTTGCAATGACTTCGTATCTCTGTCAGAGCCATGTGCAGATGTTCCGGACAACACATTCGCCAGAGGAGAAGCATTTGGCAACGGGCGAGAAAAATGGACAAGGCGAGCTTTTTGACTTGAGCAAGCGGTTCCCAGAGTGCAAGAAGGGCGCGTGAACCCGCAAACCCGGGAAACGTTGCGTTTGAACGCATGCTGAACGCATGCGAACGCCCGAGGAATCATGTGTCCATGTTCCAGTTCGCCGGCAAAGTTAGCATCACCATGTACAACGTGGCACTGACTGCAGAGCATGTTCTTCTTTCGCCGGCTTCTCAGAAAGACCAGAAGGGGCTACTTCTATGCACGATCACTACCGCAAAGCGCGGTGCTTAGATTGTTGATATGTGCTTGCCGACAAGAGCCCAGTCTCCATCAAGGTCCTGCCGTGGATATGGCATCAAAGTGAATCCTGAGGACAACTAAGTCACTAAGTAAAGTGACACCAATCTGATGCAAGCTGCACGTTTGCAGGACCGAAGGCTGCATGTTGCAAATCTATACACTCTGGATGGGACGCTGCGACATTCCCTCGACCACGGATCAATGCTTGGTCGCATGGGCATCTGCAGGGTGCTCAGATGCCAGAAGTCGGGGGATGCAGATGAGTTCTTCTTCGTCTCCTTGTGCTTTGCATGGGCATTCCTGGCATTCCTACGATGTCGCCAGAGTGGCGTGTGCTTCTGGATGCCTTTGCTTCTAGTGAGGGGCATCTTGGTTGGGAGATGCGGCGTTGGTCCAAACATTCCAAGGTCTGAACGCGTCGAATGCAGCGACCTCTGGCGAAGACAAAGTCGTGAAGGCTGGCAAAAAACACTTTGCTCGGACATGCTCGAACTGGGGCATTCAGAGGCTTGCGCTGAAAGGGTCCTGGCAGGTGTGGGATCTTTCCGGTCAGCTCTTACATACGATTCCAGCAGACAAGGCCGGTGTTCAACGGTGTTTAAGGGTCCTAAAACACCAGAGTGATGTTGGCAGGAGCGCAGTCCCGGGGTCTGCTTCCTCGGCGGCCAGCTGCTCGTGTCAGGCTCTTGATGGGAAGCAAATTTAAGATGGGGAGAAGCGTGGAGATATGGCCGAGATAAGGTGAGCTGCAAAACCGGCAGTAGACTCTTTTTTCTCAGAGATCTGCCGGGAAGGAATCTCGAATGTTTCCATCTACGACTCGCAGACATGCAAGCTGGAGCGCCAGCTGGAGCTTCCTCAGCTTCCTCTGGTTTCTCAGCTTTGTTTGGTGTGTCGATATGGGTGTCGATATGGGACTCGGCAAGGCTTGGGTCAAGGCTTAGGTGGGGGCCAAAGCAGTTCCTGGGTTGTGCTTTAGGGATAACTTTGAATTTGGCTTCTTTCTCTTTTAAGGGAACCTACTCATATGTTAATTTTCAAACGGCTCTAAAAGCACCACTCGGGTTCAAGTTTTTACTTGACACTCGGACCTAAAGCAGCAAAGGTGCGAAGATCAACTGCTTTGGGTTCGACTGCTGTTCATGTTTTGGGGTCCCGGGCTCGTAAGGGCTCATAAGGTCTCCAGATGCCCTTGGAAATCTTCTGAGGCTCTTAAGCGCATTTGGAATGTGATGTGAAAACATTCGGGCTGGGTTTCCAAGCATGATGTGTCTGGGGCCACGGGGCCACGGAAAGCTCGCAAGATACCGTCGGAACGAGCCAAATTCACAAGTTCGCACGCTCGCGTATCCGCATGGGAGCCTCAGAGTCAGAGCAGGAAGAAGAGCACACAGTCAAGAGTTTCATGTCCTGGAACAGCTGTTGACAGAGGTGCTTTCTTGGTGCAAACCAACTGAGGCTGAACGAGGCAACTTCCGGGCTACTCCGCAGACCTACCCCCGCCTTATATCTGGAGGAAATTACGTGGTGTCAGCAAGCGAAGACCGACGTGCCAGCATATGGACGTTCTCTGACGGAAGACTTCTTTGTACCCTCTCAGACGAAAGACGCATTTTTGGCGACTTCTATGCGGCTGTTTGCGACGAACGCCTGGTATTGATTGGCGGGAAGTGCCTGAAGATTTATGACCTTACAGTGCATGCCGGCTACAAGCGAACGCGATCGGAGGGCCTTGGTGTCTCACTTCGCTTTATCATCGAGCCGGACCAATTTGCCCTCACTGCACAGGAGGCAACCGGAAAGGCCAGAGATGTCTCATGTGTCACTGTGTTTTCTTGTGTCACTTCCGCTTGTCCTCTGCTTGCAAGCTTTTTTCTCTCAAGAGCTTCGTGAGGAGAACCCCAACTTCCACGAACTTGCGCCTGTGATCGCTTATGGTCCGAACGCTTTGGGCTCTGGTTCCATCTGTCCTCGCGATGGTCGCCCAGGGTGTGCCCTTGTGGTCACCTGTCTCCAGATTAATCCAGACAGTATCATGCCGCTTGCACACAGATGCTATGGCTATGGGGTCCTTGTAACAAAGGATGTGATACCTTCGGGGCCCGCAACTCACTTTCTGTCTTGGGCTTGGTCCTACCGAATGAAGACAGTAGTCCTGGCACTGCGGCATTGGAGTCAGGACGAGCAAATTGCTTCTGCAACTGTTCCGTCGTGTTGTTGGTATTCGTTGTTGATGTGAACGAGACGGGAAGGACAGTAGCAACAGCATCAAGCCCGACCAGCACCTTGGCGAAACAAATGCTGTTCGTGAGGCATTCAAGAGGAACATGGATTCGCAGATGCTAGCGAAGGGTCTTTGAGAGTGAGCTTCGTGAAGCAGGACAGTCCAAAGGAACATACCGGCCAAAGCTGGGTATGTCGGTCAGTTGAACCAATGAGTAAGGACGTTCATTTGGATTTGCTTCTTCTGCAACAATCAAGAGCGGATTCTCAACGAGAAGTCCCAGGAGGGCTCGGATGATCTAGAGACAACCTTCCAATCACGGTTGCGATCAATCGGGCATGTGCTGGTGCTTTTCGACGACTGGAGCAAGCCAGCCTACTTGCCGCTCTTCACCACTTTTTTCTGGTCTTGAGAGCATGTGCACTAAGGGGCGCAGTAAGGGCTTGATATGAGCTTGATGCTTTTGTTTAGAGCACTTTTGTCCTTTGTCCCTCCGCGCAAAATCCAAGGACACGCGTGTGGTGCATCTTCGAAACATTTGTCGCTGCCGAGCCCTCTGTTTTTCATGACGCATGACACCTCGTTTTTGTGAATCCATTGAGCAGTCCGTCTAAGTTTCGGGCTGCTCAGGAGAGCGCATTCTTGGAGTTCTTTTCTTGGGTCCTCTTGTTTGGTGCGTTTGTGTTGTTGTCTTGTGGTCCTCGGGTCTGCTGGTCCTTGGGTGGCCGAGTTTTCCTATGTTTTCCTTGATTGTTGGTTTTTCCTTCGTCTGTTGTCATCTTGTGTGCGCACCCATCAACCCACCATTTTGTTTAAACGCTGCACTCCCTGGATCATTCTAATTGCAAATAGAGCATGCCATCATTCTGTCTGCAAATGGCTCGGGCTGCGACGCTGAAAGGAGATGTGGGCCCACGTGTCCTCGGAATTAGCATGTAGAGAACGTAGAGGCTTCTAAGGAGAACAGAGGTTCTCCGATTAACAAACGAAAGAAGTAGATAAGCATAGAAGTTTTCCTATGGACATGCAGAGAAGTGAGAGGTTTTCCAAACCCCCTCCTTCCATAAGATTCACCACGAGGTGAGATCCGACATTTGCTACACGTTGATCTTCCCTCCGGAGTCTGCTGAGAGCATGCACGGGGCTTTGCAGCGTGGGATGCATCTGGAAGTCACCAAAGATTGGAGCAGCCTCTTGGCCGCTATGGCACATGCTTGCAACCTTTAGAGTGTCTCACACAAGACTCAGAAAGCAAGCTTCTACGGCGAGGCATAGATGTGGCGCATGCCACTGCTAGCCGCCCTGTGGATGAGGAGAAGGTGAAGGGCATCATCTCACGAACCTCCTCCTTTGATGAGGTGAACTCTGCCCTTTGGCAAGAATGCTCATGAGAAGGCATCAGCCGTGCCATCCAGGTCGCAATAACATCTCGTTGCAGTAGCGGTGTTGAAGCTGCATTATCAACCAACATGCCTTGCCACGAAGGTTGTCAAAGATCATCTGATAAATTGGTTCAAGAAGCAGTTTCAGGCCGAGAGTTTGAGCGTAAACGCACAAAAACTGCCAGTGGCACATTCTACCACAGTCTCCGGAGTTGCAGGCCGTCTTTGAGCGCGGTGTGCGAGAAGGGCCCGAGTTGTCGCAGCGCAGCTGCGAAGCTTGCGCTTTGAAGGCCGCGCAACAATCTGAGCCATTAAGCTTAGGGCGCAGTGATTGAGGCTTAGATTATCTATCTTTGCTTCGGGCAGGATGCAGAGATTGCACATCTGAAGCAGGTGCTGGAGGACCTGCCTGTTAAGCTGCTTTCCCTTCTATGCCCAGTTGTAATACATAGAGGACTGTGAAGCAAGCACACATGTCATGAGGAACGCGATGCCGAAATTCTACGGCTAACGGCATTACTGCCAGCTGGCAGTGCGGTCAAGGCAGCCAAGTCTGACCTCCTGGACGTCATCAGCAATGGCGAGGTCCCACCTGTGAGCCAGTCGACATTCCACAACCCTTCCAACCTCTTATGTGTGCAAAGACAGGTGGCGGCCACGTGAGACGATTAATTCGGAATTGACAAATCGCTCGGCAAGACAGCATCACGCTCAAAGCGGTTGCTCCCCGGAAACGTGTCCGACAGTTCTTGTTCCGAATGCGAACAACGCGTATCAATGCTTCAGTCACTTCAGCCCCACTCCAATGTGACGAGCTGCTGGACATGGATTCGCGACGTTAACGACCGATGCCCACTGGACTGAAGGTCAGGATGGCTCTGGAGTTAATGTACAATGCTATGCAATGCTATGCAATGCTATGCAACGCCATGCAATGCAAAGCGTGGTGACCCCTGTGGTGCAGAAAGAAAGAGTGGAAAACAAGGGGCCTGTGAGTGCAAAGCACGTGGACGGCCACAAGTGTGGGAGCCAGAAGCTCAGGTAAGCAGCCTTGCGATGACTTTGGCGGAGATGACGTGGGCAGAGCTTAGCTCCGGCGGAGAGCCAAGTGTCTTGCCTTCTTTTTTGCTCATGAGTTGCGTGTATGATGGTAGCAGCTGGGCTCAGTTGGGCTCGTCCAGTCCAAATTGTAGATACACACTTCACGAAGCGCAAATGTTGTGACGGCCGTAACCGAACCATGGGGAAACGGGTAGTAGAAGCAACGCGGCTGGTTGCGGCAGAAACCTGGTGATCATGTGGTTGGTCGCCTCGCAAGCCAGGCAGAGATGCTAGAACTACTATGACATTGGATTTAATGTTGCATGGTGAGCCTGCTATCCCGTGAGTGTAAATGCAATGCTAGCCGACCCGCCTCGACCGGGACCTGCCTAGCGGCGAGAAAACCTAAACCGGACAGGGGTTTCGACAGAAACGCGTCGGTGGGTGGGGCCGGGTGGGGGTGGCCTGGAAAGGGTCTTGCTGACCGGGGGTGGTCTCGGCTTAGACGTTGGACCAACCCTCCTCGGATGCAAGCAGAAGTACGCAGTCTTTGATTTCCTCCCCAAAGCAGATCACACCTCGCTTGCAACCACTCGATTCGATTCACATTTGCAACGGCTCATGCGAAGCATGTTGGGCAAAGGATGTTATGTAACCCTTCGTCACTTGCACGGTGCATGTGCTTGGTTGATTGTTCGGAATCTTCCGGCAGTCGGCAAGTGTAGGTGCTGATGTATTGGCGGAGATCTTGGAGCCCTCCCTCCAGGACCAGTGATGTATGGTGCTGCAACTGCGCGAAGTTTTTCCAGCCCGAATTGCCAAAGGAGGCTTTCCACGACTCGGGCGAGTGGCCGGCGAATGAGGCAGCACATTGCCGCAGTCGGCGGGATGAGATTTCGTGGGTACTCGTAGCGATATGGGGATCATGCCATCCTGCTTCCAGAAGCTGCAGGACAAGGCAAAGGCAAAGATGCCTCTTGTATATTCATTGCTGGCTCTAGTTACTCTAGTTTAGCCTGTTCTCCGGCTTGCCCTGCTTAGTGCCGGAGGACCGGTCTGGTTTACCGGCCAAGTTTTTTAGCACCCTGCTCGATCCCCTACCCCCGTTACCTTGTTTGCATCAAGCAGCCAGCTGCATTTCCTTGTCCTAGTCGCGGTATTTTGCCTCCTGCATGTCTTGTCAGAGACGTGGCCAGTGAGAGATGGAGTGTGCCAAGGATGTCTTCCGCACTATTGCGGGAACTGCAGCGCTGTGGTCGCGATTAAAGTGTGAGAGGATGCCGACAGCGAGCCAAAATCCGTTCTTCGTGGTTAGTTCCTCCCATGAGCTCCAAATGGGCTGGCCCTCCATGGCCACTCCATTCAATCCCATCGCTCGGCCCTTCGCGCCTGTTTGGGCAGTCCTTCGAGGCCTGGTGGGAGCGAGCAGGGGTGCACTTTGCCCATGAAGGAGTCAAGCAGAGCATCCCAATCAGAACAGAATTGTTGGAGCTTGACATTTCGAACCGCAGCTAAGTTGTTTTCTTGGTGACCTTGCTTCAGTTTTTACTAGTAATGTTAATGCAAGGTGTTTGTGCTTCTGCAGTTTTGTGGCCCTGCGAGCTCACGGCATCCGGTAGTTGTTCTACAGTGATCCAGGCCCATGGCAGCAAGCTCAGTTTGTGGGATGCTCACAAGATGCCAGAGGTTTTGCTGCAGTTTTCGTGATTTCGAGTACTTGAAAGTCGGCTGAAGGCTCAGCGACGAAGCAGAAACCTTGGCGTTGTGGTGGCCATTGCCGTCGCAGGAACGTGGTGCACCAGCTTCGTGCCCTAGCTGCCCTAGCTGCCATAGCTGCCCTAGCTCCCCGAGCTGTGATGGTGTCTGGTTTCCAGTTCTTTCGATACTTGTGTTGCTTACGCTTGAAGGTAGCGCCCTCCGGTGGAGGCCTGGTCATTCTCCGCACACCAGCATCTCGCCGCTTCGCCTGACTGGAGGTGAGGCAAGCCGGCGCGAGGCCTTGCTGGGCCTGGCCGGGGCCGCGACTGCCGCGACCCTGTCCTCAGAGCCGGCCCTGGCCTTCGACGAAGCAGGCCTGGCACAGCTCACAAGCGATAGGCGGATTGTGCAGGCGCGGAAGTACGGAAGCCCCAGGACCGTGGCTCGGGTACTACAGCGACCCCCAGCACCCCATGTGCCCCCGCAAGATTGTCTACGAGTATGACCTCTACAAGGACGGGCCTAGGGACGATTCTTGTGGATCTTGCTCCTTCTTGCAGCAGCCTTTCATGTGCTCTGCCTGGCAGACCGCGACGATCATGGTGGTGGGTGGCGATGGCGACCCCGGGTGCGAGAAGAAGGCACTGAGTGCTGGAGACATTCGCATGGAGACTTCCAGTCTTCACTTTTGCGCTTTGCAACGATGCGAAGGTGTCCAAGAGGTGGACGGCCAAGGTAGACTTCAAGGCGGGCTCCGACAGCATCACCATCGACTTCAGCAAGAAGGGTGGCCCTGCGGTCCCTCGTCCCAATGATGTTTTTGTGTTTTTTGGTATTCTCCTAACTCTGTCAGCACTGTCAGCATTGTCAGCTTCAGATCCACTCCACACTTCCAGGATGTGGTTGGAAAGTGGGACAAGGACGGCATCGTCTTCCCTGACGGCAACAAGTGGAAGAAGATCATCTCCTTCACCAACGCCGACGGCCAGCTCCTGGCCTGAGTGGCAGCACAGAAAAGCTCAAAGAAAGCCATTTCTTGCAGGGCCGACATCTTTTTCAAGCTTGGAGCCTGCAAAGACGCAGACCTGAGACGAAACAGAGTACTTGCGCTTCTCACTTGTGCAGCCTCGGTACAGCACCACATCCTTCTTAACTTGCCTGTGTTCTGCTGACCTTTATGCCTGGATGTGTGTTGAGAGGCCAACATGCTGGAGATGCGCTAGACGGCGTGGGCGTGATGGGCAACCCCTTGATAGACGGGGTTGTTGCCCGCAAATGGGTTGACTCGAGAGGTACATTCAGGTGAGCACGGGCCCAAAAAGGCCGCAGGAGCATGTCTTTGCTGAGCAGGATCTTGCACCGTAATGCCCCACATTGTTTGGCTGGTTCCTTACTTCAGGCTTATCGCAGTTTCTAAGCCTCAAGCCGAGATTCGCAATTGCTGTGCTCACCATGGTGTCCCAGCTGCTCTAGCTTTGTGATTTCTGCCATCCTAGCTCATGTTCACTGAGTTTACTGCTTGTCTCCGCTGTCTGCGAAGGTGCGGGCACCCATCCGTAAGTCGCGATGCGCAGCAGCCGTTGCCGCGGCTGCACTGAGCGCCGGCTATCTGATCACGGCCTTCGCCACGCGCCTCAAAAATCATGAATGGCCGCAGACCTGCGTGAGATGGCGGGCAATGCAAGCTGCGGTGTTACGTGGTACCCTTGTTGCGAGGTGATGCCGCCAGCAGAAGGCCACAAAACATGTTGTGAATGACGCTTCTGCCACCTCACCAGTGTTGAGATGGTGATTGCCAAGCCGCTTGCCTTGATTGCTAGAAGGAAACCAACGCTGGCTCACGCGTTCAGGTGCCGGCCGGCGCGAGGCCTTGCTGGGCCTGGCCGGGGCCGCGACTGCCGCGACCCTGTCCTCAGAGCCGGCCCTGGCCTTCGACGAAGCAGGCCTGGCACAGCTCACAAGCGATAGGCGGATTGTGCAGGCGCGGAAGTACGGAAGCCCCAGGACCGTGGCTCGGGTACTACAGCGACCCCCAGCACCCCATGTGCCCCCGCAAGATTGTCTACGAGTATGACCTCTACAAGGACGGGCCTAGGGACGATTCTTGTGGATCTTGCTCCTTCTTGCAGCAGCCTTTCATGTGCTCTGCCTGGCAGACCGCGACGATCATGGTGGTGGGTGGCGATGGCGACCCCGGGTGCGAGAAGAAGGCACTGAGTGCTGGAGACATTCGCATGGAGACTTCCAGTCTTCACTTTTGCGCTTTGCAACGATGCGAAGGTGTCCAAGAGGTGGACGGCCAAGGTAGACTTCAAGGCGGGCTCCGACAGCATCACCATCGACTTCAGCAAGAAGGGTGGCCCTGCGGTCCCTCGTCCCAATGATGTTTTTGTGTTTTTTGGTATTCTCCTAACTCTGTCAGCACTGTCAGCATTGTCAGCTTCAGATCCACTCCACACTTCCAGGATGTGGTTGGAAAGTGGGACAAGGACGGCATCGTCTTCCCTGACGGCAACAAGTGGAAGAAGATCATCTCCTTCACCAACGCCGACGGCCAGCTCCTGGCCTGAGTGGCAGCACCTGCGCATCTGCTTTGAGGTTTTTCTTGTAGCGAAGAGGACACCGCTGGCGTCCAACCCGCTAGAGAAACGGAGTGTGTTGCGAGGATCCGGGAGGGAAGGGGTGGCTTGGTCGTAAGTGAAGGATTGACAAACAACGTTTACCAACATGTCGATCATCACAGTATTTCAGTTCAACTCAGAAAAATCAAGTCCGCTGCTCCAGAGTCTCTCGCAGCCAGCTGTTTAACTACGAACGGAGAACATGTTTGCCAGGTGCTCGTAGGCCTTTGGCATATCTGTCCTTGCGTGCCAGTCTTGCTGTTTCCTGCCTTCGCCAGAGACAGATGTCCTTTGTCAGAGCCGTTCACGGCCGCCTGGCCCGCTCACGAGTTTCTGGAGGAAAAGCACAGTTACACGCGCCACGTGCCTTTCTAAAAGATACACGCGACCATGTGGGAATAGCACAGTTACACGCGTCACGTGCCTCTCTAGAAGATACACACGACCATGTGGGAATAGCACAGTTGCACGCGTCACGTGCCTCTCTGAAAGATACACGCTGGTTCTCGGCTGTACAACGCTTGCATGGCCTACCTCGCGGCATTCGTGCTGCACTTTTCAACATCTCTCGCTCCACTGCATCATGAAGACATCACGTGAGCCATGCATTCGGAGTGTTTTGGTTCAAGCTTCCTATTCAAGTAGATTTTCGATTCTGCACACTTGAAGTTTTGTGTTGTCTGGATGGTCTGTTAGGCCTCATTCAATGCAAGCAGCAAGCCACCCCACTGACCCGTTCGACTTGCCGAGATTTGCCGAGCACCGTGTAGCCAAGATCCCGTTTTACACGTGCTGACTAGTACTTGGCCCAGAATGGCGGAGACGGCTTTTCTAGTCTTGGCCCCGGGCGTGCGCCACCGTTTTTTGTCTGTCATCTGTGACCTCCAGCAGACCCGTCGTCATATTGCCAATGCTCAAGACTGAAGACGAAGGCCGCGCTGCCGCTGAGGGAACCTGTAGTTCCACTGAGGCTGGGGGCTTGGCAAAGAGCTTCTGTGACACCGAGCAGTGACCCACATGCTGCTAGCAATGCCCCACCACACACTTGACCTGTTTGCTGCATCCGGGCTGTAAGCACTGCCTGGCTAGGGATCCAATTGAGCTCTATGTAGCTTGAATATACTTCAGTAACTTCAGTGGATTTCTCTTAGAATAGAGCACCAGGTATTTCATGTTGACTGTAAAAGTCAGTGCAGGGAATGGCTTGCGTGTGTGGACCACTTCCGGCCATAGAGCCATGTTCATCGATTGCCACTGCCACCTGACGTCTGAGCAGTTTCAGGATGACTTGGAGGCAACAATCGTTGGCACATGTCGAATCTTTTGCTCAGACGCTTGATAGGGATACCTTGTGCTGCAGGAGGTCCTTGCAAGATCGCGAAGAGCTGGGGTCCAAGGTCCATCAGGGTCATGGTGCAATGTGGGTCGCCTTGCCACCCCAAGCTGTGACCTGAACTCTTAGGCTTCTTAGGTTTGTCTGAAGCGTCTTTGCAGCAGGCATTCTGACATGCTCGACTTCGCCCTCGGATATGCTCCATGTGGTTCAACTACGGGAAGAACACCCTGATGATATCTATGCTTGCTTGGGCATCCACCCTTTGGATGACAGCGGCTAGGCAGAACTCGGCAAGTTCGATTCTAGTGTTCTTCGATGCAGCAGCAGGGCTGTGGCTGTCACTTTGCAGCCCACAATTTCACAAGCTTCCTCTTTGTGTTTTCACCTCGTTTCATCTTGTTTCGCAGGTTGCGACATGCGGGCGTGGCAGACTGTGCGTGCTCTGGACAGAAAATATTCCAACCGGAGTGGTGCTTTTTTGCGTGTCTTGCATGTCTTTGCTATGGTTGCTGTGGTGTTATACTAATGCGAAGACGAATGCGAAATTCAAGAGCCTCCGGCTCATGCCGCCGCTCGCGGGCTGAGAAATAGGACACCAGCTCGCGATGTTGGTCACGCTCGCGGACAAACAAGAACGGCAGGGCGAATGCTCGCATGGCAGGGCAGTCACGCGAGTCAAGCTGCAAGCGACAGAGAGGGGGCGAGGTGTTATGGGATATCCTAACATGGTCCGTCAAAGGGTTCGGAGGTTTTCAGGGCAGGGGACCCACGAGAGTTCCCAGAAAGTCCCAAGGAATGCTCACCCAACGAGTTCGCGCGGCCCTCCTGCCCTATATCCCCCCCCCCGTTTTGGGGCTGGAACGGGGAAGATGAGGTTCTCCCTTCGAAACCCATGCAACACGCCGCCACAGCGGATACAGTGTGGATACTCGGGACTGTAGGAGAGATGATCATTGCGGAGCATCGGAAGCATGGACTTGCAGCCCTTGGAGAGTGCCTGGGCATTTGAAACTCGGATTTTTGCCTCCCAAACCGCATCTCAGCATTAGCTCCTTCTCTGGAGGTTGCCGGGGCTTACAGTGGTGTGTGAATCCCATGAAGACTTGTTGGAGTTGTGTGGCCATGTGGAGCTTGTAGCCTCTTCTAGAACCAGCCCAAAGTTAAATGGTACTTTTTTCGTCTGCAATTCAGTTTTTCTTAGTGTTGACACAAGATGTGCCAGGATTGGTTTGGACTTTTCGCGACCGCTTCTGAAGCAGAAAGCAGCAGCCAGAGGTGCGACGGAGGTGCGAGCGTGCCCGTGTTTGTCGCACCCGGGGAGCTCCATCTAGACCCGTGATAGATCGGTGGGATCCCCACGTACCTGCTTCCAGTTTTTCTGGTTCTGTTGTCCACGATTGTGTTTTTTTTGACTCCAGCTCCAGGCAATTACAGCACCTTGCCTAGGCATGCAATGCTCGCTTGCACTTCCGCAGGCTGATGTCCGCAACCGCCAACTCTCTCTTTTCGAGGCTTGCGAGTTGAGCTTGCAGCGTTTGAAAAGCAGCCTTTGCACAGCGATTTGTCGTTTGGAGGCTCAACTTGATTTGGCCAGGGAGCTTGACTTGCCTGTGAACGTTGCTTGGATGGACTAATGGCGTGTTTTTGCAGTAGCAGCGCTGCGCCATCTTGAGCCACGACAGGTGCACTCACGCAATGCGGAGAAGGAGGTCCTGAACATCCTCTCCGGTTGCAAAATTCAGGGGGCATCGTGCCTGCAAGAGTCCCATCCCCCAGTTTTCGACCCCCTGGCCTGAGTGTCGTACAGGTACTAGTCAAGGTACTGGTATCCATGGTAGCAATCGCTAAAGCTGGACTTTCGTGACAGGTCTTAGATCTTGGAGGCCTGGGTAGGCCAGGGGCATCTCGTAGACCGGCTCGCGTCATGTGGAGCACATCTCCGGCTCGCGCACCCATAGTCAACAAGGTTCAACAAGAGACGAACGCATGGTGTCTTCAAGCTCCGCAAGAGAACGAGAGAGAAAGAGTGTGTCTCAGCGGGGGGTTCCTCAAGTTTGCAGCAGAAGCAGAAGCAGAAGCAGAAGCAGAAGCAGAAGCAGAAGCAGAAGCAGAAGCAGAAGCAGAAGCAGAAGCAGAAGCAGAAGCAGAAGCAGAAGAAGAAGAAGAAGAAGAAGAAGAAGAAGAAGAAGAAGAAGAAGAAGAAGAAGAAGAAGAAGAAGAAGAAGAAGAAGAAGAAGAAGAAGAATAAGAAGAAGAAGAAGAAGAATAAGAATAGGAATAATAAGGAAGAGTAATAAGAAGAAGAAAAACCGGAGTCCCCCCTAGCCCGACTGCTTGGCCATGCAGAAGAATAATAACAATAAGACAGGGTGAAGGGGAGAACATGAGGGACCGTGTCGCGTTACTCCTAAGGAGCGCAGAAAGGAACACAAAACAAGAGAAGTGGATCGTCTTGGACTAAGGTGATGCATGCTTACAAAGGGCCGGCGGCGTTGGCGCTCCAAGCTGCCAAGTCCGGGCGTTTGTGGTTTTCCTTTCCGCCCTCTCTTGTCTACAAGTGGGAGTACCAGGCTGGCAGAAGCGGGAGAAGTAAACGAAGTGTCCCATTCTCCTACTTGCTGGCACTAAAAGATGGGCTAAGAGTCCTACAGTGTTGTGCCGCTGTCTTCCTCGCGATTTGCTGGTGGCTGCTGATCTGGGAAAGGAAGCTGTGAAAGCCTTGCCCTTGGAGTGCCTTCTTTTGGAAACTGACAGCCCGAGCCTTGCTGCTGCGGGACCCAAGGCGCGGCGTGTTCTCAAGAAGTGTTCGACTCACATGTTCGCGTTCTTTTTTGTGTGGCGGGCGTGGGCAGGCGCGAAACGAACCAGGCTTCATTCGGGCAGCTGCGGAGAAGATGGCAGAGCTCAAGGGTGTAACGCTTCAGCAGGCAATGTGCTGATCCGTGCTGTTGACATGCCGAGTGACGCTGGTGCACCGGCAGGTGGCTGCAGCAACCACGCGCAATGCGGTGCATCTCTTCGGCAAAGCTTCGCCTGGTCTTCAGGAGCTGGCAAGCTGACTCCTGCTTGAAAGAATCGCATGAATCGCACGGTCTCTTCGCCGGAGGCATGCTGCATGACGGCGCCGCCCAGCAATCCGACGGGGAAAACCTCACGATGGCGCAGGGATGTCAAGGAAAAGTACAGGGCTCGCTCAAAGATGATGTGGTTGCGGTTTGGAAGAAGGGTGTTACTGTTTCAGCCGAAGTCAGATTCATGCGTACAGGCAGGGGGAGCGCAGACAAGACTTTCAGAATTCATCAGAATTTCATGAGCAGGACAACGAGGGCAATGTGCCGACATCAGATGCTCCTCCTGCACAGACTTTTGCTCCCCAGGAGTCTGAGCTGCAGCCTTATGGCATCCGTTCTCATCTAGAATCTCTGGACATGTTTCATATGTGTTCTGAACAAAAAGAGACAATACTCAAAGATCCAGTATTAGTATACAACCTATGAATATAAGCATCTTGCAATGTTAGTTGATAAAGTAGATGATACATACAATGCTCTAAGTTTCAGGAAAGGGATGTAACGTAACCGTAACATAACCATAATCAAAAATGAAATGAAACAACTTCAAACGTAAATACGAATAACCATTATCAGATTAAAGATGATACTATTCGAGATGAAGCAACAATTTCAAAAAAGGTTGGTTGCGATCCCAGTGATAGTTGTATTGCACATACATGTCATCATGTTCAAATGTTAGAGTCTACTAGTGATTTGCGAAGTCTTAGCGTAGATAGACTACATACAGTTTCATTGCTTTCAATTTGCAATCTCCAAAGACACAGATCAGGACCGCTCAAGTCAGCGCTGGACGCGCAGAAGTCGAGGTGCTGAGACACACACAATGGATCCGACTCTTTGCTCCTCTGCTTTCGGATCCGCGCGTTGTTCTTGATTTACGATGTGTGGTCCGGGTGAGCACCACGAGGATGTCCAGGAAACACCTCGGTGTCAGCCACATTTGCAATGCTGTGGGCCATTCCAGAAGACTTCGACATCGTCGTGGAAAGCAGAACCAATACCACATCCACAGCGAGGGCAGACATCGTAAGGGAGGTGTTCCTTGCGGATATGAACCTGCTGCACAATGGTGTTTTCCTGGTCAGATACCGACTTGATTACCTCAGGCAAGCGACCAGTCTCAGCTTCGAACATGTTTCGTTGTCGTCGAAAGCGGCCAACTGAGCCATCTTGAGCTGGTGCTGCCTCAGCGGTTTGAAGCTTGCCGAGCTCCCGGTGGGCAAGCTTTCCTTTTCCTGGTGCCTCTTCCAGGCTGTGATGCCCTCCATTTCACTGGATCCATCATGCGCGATCGCCTTGAAGATGAAGGCACAACCTGCTTGGCCGAATCGGCCGGAAGCCGTGCTCAGAACACCGCACTTGTGAGGGCCAGCTTCACGTATGCATCCAAGACAGGTTCCACACTTGAGGATGAGGGGCACGCAGGTATGGCACCGACATTTAAGCCACTTGAGGCGGCCAGCAGCTTTGGAGATTTCGTCTTCGCCACGCCGAAGTGACTCTTCGATCTTCACCAGCACCAAATCTTTCGCAGCCACCAGCTTCGCACTGAAGAAGCGAAGTTGCCGAACGCGGGATGGAAGCAGCTGAATAGCGATGCGCTCCTATCCATGGCAGCAGCACTGAGATGCACCGGGGTGAAAAAATGCAGTTTCTGTCCGTGATTCGGGCACAAGGACCAGCAAGCGCCACTAACTTTTTTTGACCGGGCCAAGCAAGAGGTACTTAGAGGCATTTCAAAGCACAACAGCTTTGCCAAGGCATCTCGCTGAGCCTCGGCGAGTTCAGTCCGTCCGCTTCTGAGATGAAGCGAAAGAGAAGATCAGAGAAGCAAGGGCCCTCAGGACCTTTTTTGCGAAGAGACATGCCATGGTGAACGGATGTGAAAGGCATGAAAGTGTCACCTTCAGAGACACCTGTTTTCCCTTCACTGGACAAGCGCGAGCTCAGTGTCGTTGCTTGGACAATGACATTGTCAAGCCATATCGTCGATCTTTCCAGGCTGTTGAGCTTCATAAGCTATATTCTACGTGCTACTGTATACTTTCCAAGCTTCACAAGCAACAGTTTCCGGAATTCGGAAGCTATGTTTTCCGAAGCGTGCTTAACGAGGCAGGCACAGGACGACCTCAAGGGTGTGCTGCGGTGACCGCCCTGACGCTCGCGGTAGCGCAGAAGGCCCCAAGCAGCGGTCTCTTCAGGGGCTCTGAGGGTCCGAGGGCTTCCTCAGCATCCTCAGCATCCTTGAGAGGTGAAAGGGCGCGGACGATGTGTTCTCAGAGCTGCCCCTAGGCAGACTGCCCAGTGTAAGTTCAGCCAGGCACTAGTAGATCGCTGTGTTGCATGCATGCAGGATTCTGTTGCGAATCGCAGGAATGTGCTGCTCTGCAGCATAGTTCTCGGCTTCATCCAACCCACCCTCCCTGCGGACGTTTTTCCTGTGACAGGGACGAATATCGCCAGTCTTTGGAGGGTTCCTGTGCTGCCCAAAAGGAGGTCGCCCGGCCCGCAGGTTGGGAAAAGTCCAGGCGTTCTGTGCCCCCTCCGAACCACAACTGACACATCAACAACAGGCCTCATGAACAAGTTGTTCTGAAACAATGAAGCTTCCATGCGCGCGCAAGTGCAGGTTCACAGCGCGGCCACTATCATGCAGACGCAAATCCTGTGTGATGTGACCACTGGCAAGCAGCCTTTTGAATGAACTGTGCGTCTTCCACCGCGAGGTTTGCGCCTGAGCCACCGCGGAAGGAAGCCATGGGATGAGCTGCCAGCTGCCCAGTTTGTCTTTGGGAACGTTTTGCGGTAGTTGCAGGAGGACGACATTATCGTGTCGGGTGCACCGTCGAAACTGGCGAAGAGGAAGGTCCCCCGCTGGGAGCACACCTCAGCAATAGAACATCGACTTAGCACTCGACTTGGTATGTGACAGCTGCTAGAACGCTTAGCATCTCGAGTTCTACCTCAGGCGCCTGATGGAGGTTCCGATCCACTGGTGGCAGACAGAGGCCTGGACCTCCAAGTATCCGAAGTATCCGAAGTATCCGAAGTATCCGCTTCTTAACTCGGGTTCTGGCCCAATAACTCAATTAGCCCACAAGTGGCCCAGCGTTACAGCGGGCGCGTGTCCGCCTTGGCCGGGATACTTCTCAAGCCCTCCTAGAGTGCCGAAAAGTGCAACACACCAGAGGGCACCAAGAGAATCCGTAAGGCGCTTTCACAGCTGTTTGGAACCGGGGCTTTCCAAGGGTCCAACCGCTCAAGCCGAAAAAGGCTCCGAATCTGTGAGACCTCCTGCTCCGCCTTCCGCAAACTTTCAGATGCAGAATGGCTTCCAGACGCGTCCAAGAGATTTTGTGCGTTTTTTGCTTCCCCTCTCCTAGAATCTTGAAACGTTTGGAGCTGTATTCTCTAAATCGACTTGTCGGCTGATCGGCTTGGCGGGTATGCGTTCAAGCTGCCAGGCAGGGGCGGCGAGCTGGATCTCATCTCAGAGGAGCGGACTGGTGTGCTATACACTTGGACTAGTTGAAAAAACTTCGGCTTTGTGTCTGCTTTGGGCTGGGAGCACTCAGCACATCGATGCTTGTACGCCAGGAGGTATATCCAGGCAATGGCCGGTAAGAGCCCCGGCTGCCTTGCAAACTTTGCATGGACCCAACCTGGAAGTGGCCGAGCCAAGACGGGAAATGTGACGGGAAGGTTGCCTTCAGTCTTCAGCCCATTGTGACCCCTTGTGTGGACGCTGCGCGTTGAGTGCAGCAAGGTGCTATCGCGTGGTGTATGACTTGGGCATAGGCAACAGTGTGGCATGTTACGGAGTGTTCTGTGGTGTTGCCGTAGTGCATGTAGAGGTGTGGGGTTGTGAGTTGGCCTGGCAGCCAGGCATTCGAAAAGAACCCAATATCGGAGCAAAGCGTACCGGTGAAGATCTCCTGGCTGGCGAATGCTTCGAGATCAAGCAAGAGGCTGTTTGGGGGATTCTTATGGCATGCCAGGTCTGCGGGCTCATGGTGATATTTGAGGCAGTGAGTACAGTGGTAAACCTTCCCTATCCATCCCTAGTTTTAAGGCCGGGGTGTCAGTACAACCCCTGAATATCTACGTGCAGGCTCTGAGGCTGACTGGAAGAGTGTATGAACTAACCATCATGACAAAGGGTGACAACGACTGCCTTGGAGTTGTCCAGACTCAGAGATGCGACTGCCGCCGCTGCTGCAAGATACGCCGTGCTGGACGGCGGTACTTTGAGCTGATCGATGGGAGGGGCTGGGTCTTCGACTGGTGTGGCCGTCCTGCTTCAGCTACTACATACTACAACATGCTACGCTACGGGCAGAGAGTCGCAGGCTCATAGACGCAGCTCTTTGAAACGCGACAGGACCGAAGTGGATGGTGAGCGAGTCGAGCTTTTGGAGCTGCCTTGCTGCTGTTTGGGGGGGGGGGGGGGGGCAGGGGCTGCTGTTGGGCTCAGTGAGTTCATCTCCAAAGATCAGCCCTCGGCTCTGGTTTTCTCGCCAAGGCTCGCCGCCCAGCTCTACACCGATTCTCGGCGGACATACGTCGTCACTGTAGGCTTCGTCGACGTCCTTCCATGTGACAACTTTGCACCGCAAAGATCTACCATGAACTACCTTAATGCGACTGCTTCGGCCCTGGACACAGGGCTGTTGAGTTGTCGCAGCTTTTTTAAAGGTTAAACCGCGCTGGAGTACGCACTGCGATTGGGGCTTTTCCTGCCGAACATACCTTGGGTGATAGCCTTTGGTGATGCCATTTGGTGATAAGATTCAGTGATGATTTTCCGTAGAACCAGTCGGTGACGACGATCGCAGATGGTCTTATCAATATATGTCATCTGGCTTGGTTGTCATATACAATGTTTTGTAGCAGAAAGCCTTGTCTTGCTAATGCATTCTGCGTTTTGTACTGCATGTGTTCGTGATTGTTCTCTCTTTGGCAAAACACTGAAAGCAAGAGCTTGAAAAAAACAACCTTTGTAGTTAATTGTTCTGGCTTCTGGGGTTCGTCAGCCCTCTGTCCAGACAACAAACTCTGGATTTAATTGTTTTGTAAGGGTGTAGGAAGGAGACCAAAACCTCTAGAGTTAACTGTCGGTCTTGTTCCGAGCCCTATCCGAACAATTAACTCTGGATTTGATTGTTTCCTTGGGGTCCTTAGAGGGGGAATGGGCTTTGAGCCCGAAACTTGCCAAATCCATGATTTCCAACCCCCCCCCCCCCCCCTTCTCAGCTCCAGAAGGGGGTGTTGGGAATGGGTGCTTTTAGACAAAATCTCACCCAACCCATGGTGGTCGGTGGTTGGGAATGGGAGTTCTAGCTCAATCCCCTCTAGCTCAATCCCCTCTCGGGCTCCAAAAAAGGGTGGCTGGGAATGTTTAAGCCCGATGCTCGCCATATCCATGATTTCCAACCGTTTTCGGGCTCCAAAACGGGTAGTTGGGAACGGAGTTTTCGCCCGAAACTTGCCAAATCCATGAACGGCTCATTGTTTTCCGAAGCACCGAACACAATTAAATCTGCATGAAATTGTTTTGAAGACCCGAGATTTCTATTCGAACTCTTTGTTGACGACCGGAGATGTGGAACTGAAACGAAGTACCGATAGCTTGTTACTTTACGAAGCGAGGTACCGATGGCTTATATAATCTTTTCCCGAGCGCCGAAAAACAATTGAATTTGGAGTTAACTTTTTTGACGACTGGAGATGTGGAACCGAAACGAAGTACCGACAGCTTGCTACTTTCCAGAGCACCGACAAAACAGTTAAATCCGGAGTTAATTGTTTTCGAAGATCTAAGGCAGACAAACAATTAAATCTAGATTTCTATTTGCTTCAGCAAACCAAGCATGTGCCTGCAAGAATTAACTCTGGATTTACTGTTTCTCGGGTCCTGGGTTTCGGACCCTGCTCCTGGCGGACAATTATCTCCGGATTTAATTCTTTTAAACTCTTGTTCTCAATCGGTGCAACAATGGCTTGCCTCATCGGGCCTGCCTGACCAGCTGGAATCCGTCAGCTCGTCACTCGACGGTAGATCCAAGACGTGCCAAAGACCAAAGCCCGACAGCCATACCTGAGGTAGCTTTCCCCGATGGAGTGAATGGCATTGCCTGGAGCAGCTCAGCATGCGAAGTAGTTTGTTTTTTCCCACCGTTGGCGAATTCTTGCTTGTCGGGCGCTAGGGTTGTCCAAAGTGCTGTCGGAATGCATTCAGTATGTCAGAGACGGCCCGATTGATGTGCGTGGCATCGCAAGACAGGACGCTCATTGTAGCGCCTTTCTCTGAGGCTCCGATGCGACAATGCGATTTTCCACAGTCAATGGCTTCACGAATGAGGCCTGCGCTGGCCAGCACCTTGCAAGGCAGTAATGCCCAGCTGTGGCTTGGCTTGGAGTGGCTTGGGTGTCCGCCAGGTAGAAGCAACAAATCTTGCACAGGCGGGGGGTCCTGAGCGATTGTACTTCATGCGCGATGCATCGAAGTTCGGGAGGCAGGAATTCGTACCGGCGATGTTCTGGTCATGATTGACCAGGATGGCGGGCCTGGGTGCAGACGTCTGCTTTCTGCTTCGCTTGATGCACTTTATTGTCTTTGTTTAGTTCAATCCGCCACTGTTGTGTTGACCAATGCTGCTTGGGGGGGCTGCTGGCAGTCTGGTGATACCTGCTGCAGTACGCAAGAAAACGAAGCAGAGACTCTATAAAATGGAGGAAAACAGCTGACTTTGAGTCTTGAAAGGAGACAACGGCCCGCGACATCAAATCTGGTCAGCTTAGCAACAGGGGCGGGCGTGGACGTGCGGGGGTTCGTCCCCCATGCCCCATGAAAGAAAGAAAACAAGAAGGAAAGAAGGAAAGAAAGAAAGCAAGAAGGAAAGAAAGAAAGCAAGAAAGAAAAGGAAGGAAAAAGAAATAAAGAAACAAAGAGAGGCATAGAGAGAGAGAGAGAGAGGGAGATCTGGAGAAGGCGAACTGAGACAGACCCCGCTGAAGGTTCAGGTTTTACTTTTGCAAAGACTTGGGGCAACTTCTGAGAGGCGTTCGCACGTCACCCAAACCCACAACGGGAGGCTTTCACTCGGACCGAAGCGGGGGGCATCCTCGCTGGTTAGAAGTAGAAGAGATCGAGAGATCCACTGTAACACAGTCTCCGTTGGCTCCAGGGTTTCGGGTACTCCATGGGATCCTGCAACGCATGGCTTGGGGCGGCCTCTTGCAATGGGGGGAGGTTGGGTGCGCAGAAGGAAAGATGCCCCTGTAGAAAGGGCAGGGTTTCACTCCCGAACCCCTACCAAGACAAGGGGGAGAGAGCTGGGGCCTTGACAGGGGGAGCTGACCTGAATCCTTCCCTGCGCTGCGCTTGCGAGGCTTGTTTCGTAGGGCTGTAAGGTACCCCCCTGTTCAGGAACTCAAAGTTGCTTGAGCATGGTGGGGGGGCCCCAAAACAGGTTTTTTCCTGAGCCGAGGGAACTGAAAGTGCTGTGTCTCTGTAGAAAGTTCCAGCAACGAAGTCAAAACCTCACATGAAAGTAAGAAGCTCCAAGATGTTTCTGCCCAGTTTCGGCTTCGCAGTGCAGATCCCGTCCTGTTCTGGTTGCCTCAACCTGTCGGTGCTGTGCAATTCAGTTCTGGGCCACGACGGGCCCCCCAGTTTGTGATCCCTCCATGAAGACTTCCCTGTGCACCAAAGGGATGTACTGCTACACAGCTAACAGTCGAGCAACAAATCTACTGGAGAAGGCTATGACAGCTCTGACGACGAAGCTTCCATCCGCCTTGATCCGACAAGCTGCCAGTGACCACTCCGAGAGTTTCTATCGCTCAAAGTCGGGAAGGCAGATGCGGAAGGACCAGCGATGGATGAAGAAGCTAGGGCGCTGATAGCCAGAACGGCTGCGCATGGGGGGTGGCCTGGACGCGGTTCCAGGAGGTATCCTCCGGCTGCGAGGTCTCGGCAAACAAGGAGTTTCGAAAAAGGATGAGTGCTTGCCACTTTGTTTCCCCGTCCCCGGCTAGGATTCCTCCGAGTCTTCAGGCGAAGTAGGGGACGGAAGTGGGAGCGAGTAACAGCTAGTGGCAGCTAGTGGATGAAGAAGGTAGCGTGGGGCCCCCCAGAAATGAAGCGGTCAAGAGGCAGCAAGATCGAAAGGCATGTGCTCATTGGAGACGTTTCGTGCTAGGAGCTGCTAGGCAGTGCAGGCAAAGTGCGACCTTGGGAAGTACGCTTCTTGAATCCAGTTGATGCTTCTTATGCGTGCTTTGAGGACCCTGTGGTTGGCATTCCATTTGGGCAGGCGTGTGAACAGACAAGATGGCCCATTTCACACGTCCAGGCACTGTTGTGGATAAAGCTTCATGAGTTGCCCATCACAGGTTTTGGAGCGAGTTTGGGCAACTGCCGGCCGCCAACCGGGATCAGGACAGGACAAAAGCCGACAAACGGCTTTCCAGGTGTGTTCTCGCATGTAACTCTCTTACTTGCGCCAGGATATTTCTACAAGGTGACGACGGAGTCTCCTTACGGCATCGGGCCGCTTCGCCTGTTAGATGCGGATGCAGATTTGCTAGCTCTGCCCCGCCCTGCCGTACTCTTCCATGCTGTGCCGAGCCATGTCGGGCTCTGTCCCAGGATTCGAGATGAGCCAGACGTTAACGGTCCAAGAACTGGTGAAGATTTGATCCGTGGAGCTGTCTTTGAGGTTTGGTGCGGCAAGTATGTGCAACAGCTTTTTGGTAGCACGTGGCAGCCAACCGTTCGATGCTTGCGCAGGTGGACGAGCTAGTGGAGGTGGAGGCGCGCAAATGTTGCGGTCATGACGGTCATGACTGTTCAGAGCTACGGTGCCACGACCCAGGATGACATCACATATCTGCACCTGGCGGATCAGCGGGGCTGGGTGGGAAGCTTGTTGTTTCGCTGGAGGTAACAATTCGCATTTCATGCTCCATGCCGGGGGCCGGAACTCAAGAAGTGATCTTAGAGGTCTTTGACAACTCTGCGACTGACCCCGAGAACCCGCCGGATGCTTTGGCGCAGAGTGTAGAGGCTGTAGAGGTGCGTGTGTGGCATTTGCGCCAGCCAAGGTGTGTCATCAACTTGGCAGAGATCGAGCCAGGCTGCACCCTGACCATGTGGCGTGGGGAGGCAGACATCTTGCAGCCGGCAACAGTCGGAAAGAGCCGGCAGCATGAGATGTGTTTTCGAACCCTTGCAGGTCGACGAGCTCGCCAAAACAATCGGCCTCAGGTTCAAGCAGGATTGCGCGCATTTGTTTGCATGAGCAGAATATTTGGTAGGAGTGTCAGTGCATGTTTGTGTACAAGTGGAGGGAACCTTTTGGACGCTGGCATCATGGCAGGACGGTAACGAAGGGCAGCCTTTCACGTTGACCGTGCTGGAGGAGGGCGAGTTAGCCACTCAATATCGCTTTTCTCAGCCTTGCGGTGCATCTTGTAGTGCATCTTGCAGCATCTTGCAGTGCATCTTGCAGTGCATTCTACAGGCCCATCCAGCGTGTTCCGTGTGCGCCTGGCTCCAACCTGCGCAAAGCTCTTCTGGCTAACGGCTTCCAGGACTGGGCGAGGGAAGGCTTTGGCGGCTTGACCACTAGGAGCATCTTCACAGGTCTACCAAGATCTTCGCTCAGTCTTCAACCGCAATGCCCAGCAGCTGTGCGGCACCTGCGTTCTGGATGTGATGGAGGCCAGGTTTCTCCAAGCCTCTAGTCTTCTGCTATACTCTGTTGATCTCTGTTGTATGTTGTCGTGTTCCGTTCCGTTGTCCTCGTTGTGCTGCCTTATGCTGCATCAGGGAGGTGAGAACCTCACAGCCCCGAGCCCAGTCACTTGGAATGCTCAGAATCAGACCTTCGCATCACTTTCAACTTCGAGGTCCGTTCCGTGAACGAGGCCGCGGTCATGTGTGCCAATCCGCCCAGCTTCAGGCCGGAATTTCAACAGGGGCCTGATGCGTGCACAGCTCTGATTTCGGTCAATCGAAGGCTTGGAAAATGTTGGTCGGGCACTTGCAAAGGCTTTGCTGCAACATCGACGTCTACGGTGACATCACCGTGAGGCCGGGCGGAGCTTGGGGACGTTGGCTGACTGTGAGGAGCTCCTGTTTTGCACTTGAGAAGGCTGCGTCCCCGCGGCGTGAAATACGGTGGAGGCACCAGCTGAGGGCAGGTCGCCCGAGGCTGACGGCACTGTTTCAGATTGTTTCGGGAAGCCTTTGCTTCTTCAAGCCGCCTAGCCGCGAGCCGCCAAGTGAGTAGATGTGAAACTCTGCTGTCGCCTTCCAGGATTTCGACAGCTTGGCATCCACAATTGTTTAACTTGATGCAAGCTTAGCAGCTGAGACGAGCATGGCCACACCTGGGCAGGTCCATGAATGGATGCCCTCCAAAAAGAGGATTCTCCCGCCTCCATGCAATGTTCAGACCCTTACAGCACGCGAGAAAATTTGGACGCAGTGTGCAGTGCGCACTTGAGCCGACTTGATGGTTCAGCATTGTCTCACGAGATTTTTGCCGATGTGACAGCTGTAAACAGGCAGTTCTCCAAGCTTTTGTCAAGCCTTACCATCATGCCCAAACAGTCCGTATGAGTACGTTCATTTCCCTGGGGCAAAATGCATCAAGCTTGGGTTCAAAGTCGTTAGGGGCATTGATGCGCGCTCCAAGCTGATGACAGAAAAGCCTGGGGAACCTTAATGAATGGATGTGTCGGTACAGCAGTCTCGGCGCATAAGTCGGGCACAGGAACATGAACCTGGAGGGGGGGATTGCATCTTCTTTCTGTCACAAAAGACGTAGAGCTTCATACCACAACAGACAATAGCACTGGGCAAGCTTATGTCTTGAAGGTGGTATTTCAAACGTTGCGCCGAGCTGCCAGCTCCTGGCTGTCACTGGCTCCGAGTTTTGGATGTATGTAGCAGTTCGGACGCATGCAAACCCCGACACTAGAATTTCAAACGCAAGCATGTGCAACCTATTGGCAGCAGTTCTGGCATGTGGGAAAACCTCGTATGGCATTAGCAATTGCAGTCAGTGTTAGAGTTGCCGGAACTAGCCACAAACAACAGCAGCAGTTCTTGCTTGGTTCACCCAAAGATACAGACTTTAGATGAGATTAGTTTCAGGGGTTTATCTTCCGTAGTGTGATTGCAACAATCACACGCGCCATATGCAATGAGTACATTGAGTACGTAGTAGCACTCATATGACATGAAGACAGAATCCTCGCACCTGTTAAGCTGTTGCCTTCATCCTGGGTATCCTGGGTATCCAGACCGCCTGGGACCGAGGATTTCCCCAAAAGGCCCTGAGACCCCATCCTCACAGCATTTGCTTAACGAGCTGCTGGCAGAGGGTCCCAGGGTTGCGCTTGGACCCCTCCCAGCTGCTGCCGAGGAAGCTCGTTAACAGTGTGCTTTCTGGTCGCGGTTTGTGCTTGTAAACTGTTCATTAGCCGTTGCTTTGCACAAGCATCTCGGATGTTGGGTGCTTGGAATTTTGTCTAGAAAAGACGGGCGTGACGGGCGGGTGGGGTGCGGGGTCGGGGGTGTGACAGGGCTGAACCTTAAGCGAGGCACGTGTCGAAGCGGCCGAAACGGATCGCTTGTGCCAACGAAAGTCCAGATCGATTCAGGCTTTTCACTGTATCAGAAACGTCCCTACTAACCGGGTCGTACAATTGCACAGCGGCCGCTTCCGGTCCGGTGATGACATCCTGCGTTCTCACAAGCAGGGCCACAGGCACGCAAAAGAGCTGCGACCGTGTGATAGTCAGTTCGAATCTGTTCAACACCCAGAGGGAAGGCGGGGCCGATTGCACGGTGTATGGACCAATCCGGGGCACAGGGCGCATGCAAACGTTGTCTGAAGCCCTCGGAGACATCTAAAACCTAAAACGCCCTACGCCAAGCCCTAGCCCTAAAGGGGTGTCAAGCCCTGATCCGAAACCCTGAATCCTCAACCCTCCCTAAACCCCAAGACCGAAGCGCTACAAAAGAGACAGAAAAGCCAGAATTCCCAACAACACAGAGGTCAGTTCATCTCAACGAAGTCGCGACACTGAGAATCAGACTAAGACGAGGATAACCTGAAAGATGGACTTCTTGGATATTCTGCCTGAGGCCGCTTGCAAAATGGGAAGTGCCGTGCAGGCTCAGCGGCTCACCCTTCTTGCATGTGCATGTGGCAGCAGAAACACATGCGGGTGTGGAAGAGGTGTGTGTGGCCTCCCTTGGCATGGTTGGCGTGCTGATCTTCATGTGGCTTGCAGCCACGGGCGCAGAGACTTCACGACTTTTTACGGTGAGGCAGCTTTGAGGCAGGCTTGAGAGTTTGCGGGGTCTTTTCATCACCGAGGTCCCCACTGAGCAAACGCTGGATTTGAAGTTTCCCAACGTACGCCACCAATTCTGTGCTTCGTTTTCCGCTCCTGTGCTTGATGTCTTCCGCTCCTTCTGCTTTAGCAGGACACAGCGATTGCTCCTTTGCATGCATTGCTTTTTGGGTTGGCCGCTGCCTTTCGGCTCACTGCTTGGCTGCTTTCCCAGCTGCATGCGCTGAACTTTCTCCTGCTTTGCGCCTTGGCACGTCATAATGCAGGAGAGACTAGATATGACTAGATAGCGGAGGGCATCCAAGGGCCACAGGGCATGCCGCATGCACTTTCCACGTTCCAACCGAGGATGAGCGGGCGAGAGACTCAGGCATCGGAGAGGTGTGACTGTTGCAGGTGCTCGACTGTGATCCCTTGAGGCTAGCAGCACTTCTGGAGCAGAAGCTCACTGGCTTAAACAGCCTCTCGCTTGCAGCTCTTGCTCTTCTGGAAGCCGTGGATATGTTTATGTGACAATTTATGTGGGATGATGCGGGATGATGTAGGATGACGTGGCCAGGTTACTTCGGGAACCCTAACTGCCTTTCTGTTCCGGATCCTGGTCGTTCGACTTTGGCCAGGCTGACTGTTCACGTGTATCCTCCAAAGCATCGTTTGCGTTTGTGTTCTCATCCTTCGCAATAGCCAGTACTGCTCTCCCATCATCGCCATCATCATCTGCGTCCCGGACGCAAAACGGTTCAGCCCTGAGCTTGAGGACCATAATGGACCATGCCAGGGATTCGGCCCGGGCTTCCGCTGCATGTGTCAACCAGGCACTTTGCAGGCGGACTCGCTGCCACGCGCGCCAGATAATGAAGACATGTAGGCGCCTCAGTGCAGACGTCCTCTTGTCAGCCTCTTAGCGGCCATAGAGGCCAAATCAGGGTATCTCTGAGGGTGTCTTTCTTTGCGGGTGTTTTTTTTTTATAATTTTTTTTGTGGATCTTGGTCGTTCCGTGGTGCGGTTTCGAGGCCCTGGGTCGCCGCTCCCGTCCGTGCTGCCCGATGCTTAGCACGGAGTGGCACCATGGATGAGGCCGGAGGGTGTCAGACTGCTAGACTGTTGGACGGTCCTCTTAAGGGCTCCAAAACAGTGCAGAACGTGTGATCAAGTTGTCGGGCCAGCGCCGGAAGCACGCAGGGCTCTCTCGGCCAATCCGAGCCGCTGAACCTGGGGAAGGTGGAACCCCTCAGCCTGCGGCTTGGAAGAGCCCGCGTTGGCTCTGGGAGTCTGGGATGGTGCGATCTTTTGCATCCGAGGCTCGCTGAAAGATGAATTCAAGCCATGGCCTCGGGCAGCAGCTTGAAAGCACTCGCAACGAATCGGTAACATCACATACATCACTCAACCAAGGTTCAACAAGAGCTTTGGAGCCAAAGTGGACGGACTCCTCGACAAGGGGTGGGACAGCCACAGTTGGCTGCTCTCGAAATCTTTGCCTATGCGTGGGAACGTGGGAAGATGTCTGCAGCTGTTTGCGGTTGAGGTACAAAGGCTGGCGACGAGTGAGAGGTGATGGGAACTGTGCGGGGCCTTTGGCTTCCATAGCAAAAAGGGGGCATGTTGGGCCTTGCAGCCGAGGCTTCTACCGTTCTGTTGCCTACAGCTTGATCGAGCAGATTGCCCCAAGCTTACATCTCTTGGAGTGCTGGCTATGCTGGCTATGCTGGCTGTCGTTCTGCCTGCTCTGCGCCAAGATCCTCTCAGCAAAGCGGCGGCCTGCGGCCGCAGCGCTGGCCCAGCGCTCGACCGGACTCGGACACAAAGGGCACTGCACTGCTCGGCCGCACGGCGGAAATCAAGCGAGGTCCAGAAGCTCAGACTTCTGCACTTCGAGGACAGATTCTGGTTTAGCTTCGACACTGAAGCGAGTCTGGCACGGCTTCAAAATGCTTTCACAGGAATCTGCAGAGCAGGAAGCGCACGATCGCTTGGTAGCAGACTCGGCTGTCGAACACTTAGAAGGCCCGACTGAACAGAATGAGCAGAGGTGGGCCATTTAGAGCGAGTGGCGGCGGGCCTATACTGGCAGGAGCTGTTCCTGCTAGGGCGGGGGTACACATGATAACATGCCAGCAGCATTCAACAGATCAACATGAGCCGGCGACAGCTTCACGAGTTCAAGCGAGTCCTTTTGGCTCAGACTAAGAGTCGTAGAGTCTCAGAGCTGGTCACTCAGCAGTCAGCAACACGGAGAGCCTATGACGTAAGCAGTTCACTCAGTTCCCTTTCTCTACGATGGTGTAGTGCCCCGAACGGCTTTCCTGGCGCTGTGGGAGGTTTCATGTCTGCGCAGTAGGGGGCCGACTGTGTGGCTTGGATGGCACGCAGGCGATGACAGTACATTGCCACTGCCTTTTGGGTCTCTGGAAGCTTGTGGCCAGATCGCAGGGAACTTAGCATATGTTGACATTCATGCGCCGGCCTTGCAAGGTAAACAGGTGCCAACAGAGTTTGTTGTTGCGGCTTGGACACATGGTGTGCGCCACTGTGTGCCCGGTGGCAGCGCATGGTGTACACGCAGAGGCCCGTGGATGTGGACAGATTGGAAGGGGAAGCCTTGACGGAGAAACTTAGTTGTCAAAGTTGCCAGGACTGGTTGGGCTACTGTTGTGCTAGTGGGGGGTGAACTTGCCCCTGCATTGCAGGATTTTGCGGCGCTCAGCGACGCGACCACAGACTGCTCACCAGGGACCAGCGTGCCAGCGGATAACGTTTGGTACCCAGCTGTGATCAGCTTGTGTCGTTCTTACCAAGAACACGTCCGTTGCTGCGATCTGCAAGGCATGGCCGGACTATTGGCCCGACTACAACGGTCTGGCCCCTTCTTCGGCTGGGCTTCTCTTGCTGCTGCATTGTGTGAGTTGGCAGTGGGTGGATGTCAGGTGCTCCTTGCTTTAGTCGGCCCTCGGGTACAGCTCGGGCCTGACGCGACTGACGGGAAGCTCGGAGATTGCTGCCACTCCCTGATTCTCAGGTCGCCGCTGATGTCAAGGAGCATCCGCCAGATCACGCTCTTCACATGCGCTGCGCCTTCACGGGATGCTGCACAGGATGCATCCCGGTACACCTTCGAGAATGATGCACGAGATTTGAGCCGAGCTCAGGGCATTCCAAGTTTACCGCAGCTAATTGCCGCAAATTTACCGCAGCACACGCCAGAATGTGACATCTCACATGCTTTTGCCATGGATCAAAGGGAAGGGGTGGAAGGGAACCTGCAGGTTCAACGAATTCTCTTCCATCGCGAAGGCTTGCAGCCTCGGGTCCAATGGCAAAGAGGCTGGTGCTTGCTGTGCTTGGCTTGAGGCTTGGCTTGAGGCTTGGTGAGGCTTGGCTTGAGGCTTGGTGAGGCTTGGTGGGCCCACAAAGATGCTTCGTCTCTGGCTTTGTCAGATGGGCATGCGTATCAGCAAAGTGCTGGACGACGGTGACTCTGCAGCGCGGGACCTTGGCTGTTTTGACGCGGAGAATCCGAAGTGTTCTGTAAGTGAGGTGTGGGCGGCAGACTTACCAGGCAGCTCGTGCGGCTTCACTTGCTCCAGGCTGGCGGTGGGTTAAAGCCGATTGCAGCCATAAACTTCACCACAAGAAGAGTTGACCGACGCTGGGCGACACGCACGCTTACTCACTCTTACTCTGACTAAGCCTTTGTGACTCCCTCGCTAAAAGCGGGGACTGCTGCCCACATTTGCCTGGGGAGGTCGATAGAGTCGATGGAAGTTGATTCAGAAAGGCTTAACGGCTTAACCTGCTCTTGCTGAACTTCCGCCACTGGAACACAATCTTTCGAACTTGCGGGAGTTGTGGCAAATGCGCGTAAACGAGATGCCAGTGTGGGTGGCAGGATTGACCTGGCCCTGGAGTTGCCACCAGAGGCACCATGCCAGTGCCAGTTGCGACCCGAAACTACACTGCCCTGTGTACTTAGGCAGTGATTTGGGCAATCTACTGCATTGAGGAGCGGCTGGACTGGGTTGGCCTCTTAGAATTCTGCGAGCTCTGCGAAAATTTTTCGAGTCTTAGGTCCTGATTCCTAGATTGTTAAAATTTCAAAAGCTCGTGCCCTTGATGTCGCTTAGGACGGCGCCAGCTTCGAGGCTTATGAGCTCCTCTGCGAGGCTCCGCACTCCGCTCATATCCTCCCGTTTTAAGTGGTTTTTGTGGGTTTCCTCGATCTTTTCCCGAATCCCTTCTTTGGCCATTTTTAGGTATCCTGCTGGTATCCTTCTTTGTCGAATTCCGTTTCGCAGGCCAGACCTCAGCCCGGCGGTGCCTTGGGAGATGTCGTCTACTGCAGGCCTCCAGAATTCCTGAAGAATCTGAAGATTCCTGCTGGGTGCGTTGTACATGTAATCACACTGAAGCACCGTTAGCAAGTGTCCCGCCCGTACGTCTGCCCTTTGTGTTCGTCCTCTGACGCCAGATTCCCTGGCATGGCCGGTGTCTCTGGACGTGACGTCGGCACCTCCGGCAGCCTGCCATGTCGATCTTGTCGACTCTAACTACATGTACTGATGCGGTTGCTGAGGTGGTGCAGGAGCGCTTCCTGCTCAGTCCAGAAGATCCCCCTGGCGGATGCGTGCAGCCTGCTCGCTTACACGCATGCTGTCAGCTCCAGTGAGCTCAAGAGCTCAAGCTCATCTTGCTGGCGATGTTGTGGTGCAGGCCATCGTGATGAAATCACCGCAGCCAAGTCAGTGCACTTTCATGGGGAGGCTCTGTGGACGTGTGCCCGTGGATGTCCCAAGCACCCTCCAAGACTGATCTGATCAAACTCGGAAGTGCTCTGGGGAGGCCTCCGCAGGCTGGATGGGTGCGCGCAGTCTCCCCAGCCTCGTTACAAAAGTGTGGTTATCCTGGTCGAGATGAGCTAGACAGGGGAGTGGGAGCCGATGTGAGTCCCGAGGCTACATCGCTCCTGTCCGGTTTTCACGTAACCAGGGAAGAAGGGGGAGGACAAAGATTTGTTGCGATGACTGCTTGCGATATCGGGCAACGACAGTTGTATCTGCCTGT